TGTAAGCAGCCTCCAGCCTTTAGAGTGCTTGTATCGTTTATCTTTCTTTTATTAGCTTCCCGCCACGAGAAGTCGTACCGCAGGCAGTATGAAGCCCATTAGAGGAAACATCTCCCCCTTCTGGCGCTCGTCGGCTTCTTTCTGTATTCCGCGCTGCGGCGCTGATCCTCAGTGAGGGATGGCGAAAGCGGGCTTATGGTTAAGCCAAGGTCGTGGGGAAGTCCGGAGCGTCTTCAGGAGAAGCTCAGACCCAGACTACACTGTACCCAGAGCATTTGCTTCCTCTCTCAGTTGAGAAGAAAAGCAATTGGTCACCTGGTTGTACAAGCTGCACCCCCCCCCCCCCCCCCCCTGGAACGTCTCCTCCCGGTACGTCCCCTCCGCACTTCCCTTGGCAATGAGCACACCGTGCCAATAAGATACCTTTAGTGAGCCCGTGGGCGACAGCATCTCAAAGCAAGCCAAAAAAGACATGCCAAAAGACAAGCCCAGAACCACGAAGAAACCGTCAAACGAAAAGTGATGAAAAGGCGGCCGCTAGAGAGGAAGGATAATCTGCTACCCTTGAGGAAGGCTGCTTGACGTCTGCGTTTGGGAGCTTTCAGAGCACAAATTTTTCGCAGACAACCCCCAAAGAGAGAGGGGGAGACAGAGAGAGAGAGAGAGAAAGGGGACTAGATATGTTGAAGGTATTTTCCCCCCGTGCTCGACGTGCTGGCCTTGTTTGGAAGTGTGCCTGCAGTCGAGGACCCTGATATTTGGTGCGCCTCCCCACTGTCTCTCCACTTCGAAACTCCTGGCGCCGTCCCTGTCGGGAAGACGTACCGTGACCTTGACGGAGATAAACCCCACTTTGGAAGCGCCCAGCAGGCGCGTCCACCCACCGCTGTTTTAATCTTTTGTTTCTCGCGTTGATTGCTTACGTTTTTTTCTTCGAGCTGACGAAGAACCCCGGGGGGGGGGGGGGGGGGGGGGAGGGGGTTGCCTGGCGAGGCGTTTGGGGGGGGGGGGGGGGCGATCGCCCCCACCGCCCCCCCCCCCCCTTGGATCCGCCACTGCTGTCACCTGACTGCCCGACGCCTGCTGCTCGAAGGCGCCATTGAGCTGAAGGTCACTCAGCTCTCCAGCGTCGTCGAGCCCGCCAGCCAACAGGCCTGACTCCCGACCACCAGCGACCCCAGCCTGCCAACCACCAGTGACCCCAGCCTGCAGACGTCCCGCTAGAACTGACACCTCCTCCTTTCTGCCCTCGCTACTCTCACTCGCTCGAATTACCCCTTCCAGGCGCTCTACCCTACTGTCACACTCCGTCTTACCACTCCTCTAAACACGCCTTCCATACTTCCCCCAGCTCTTCCGCCTGCTTCTCGAGACCCACCCGTTTCTCTCCTTCTGCCCTAAGCTCGGCCTCAATCTCCCGAACTCTACCCTCCCATTCCCCAGTTAAATGCTGAAGCTTCACACAAAGCCGACGCTAGAAACTCCGTCATGCTCAGTGTGGCGCCATATATCTTACTGGGTGGCAACTAAAGTCGTCAGCCACAATGCGACCCCCAAGAAGGCGGCCGCACCAGTCCATTCCAAGACTATCGGCCTTAATGCAGTTCTCGGCCCTTACGCCCTACTCGGCCTCAGAGCCACTGCCGGCCCTTCCACCCCTCTCGGCCCTAATGCACTCTCGGCCGTAAAGGCTGAACTCCATGGAACGAATTACGTGACGAATAACTGGCGAACGCCGCCCGACGACACGCTCGCTTTGCGCGCGACGTAGCAGCCACTGTGTTGATTCTACGCGCAGAGCAAAAGCTGCCGGGCAAAATTCGCTGGAATGGGGCGACAAAAACGCGGAAAATGATATGCAAGTGATATATCGTTTTTGACGCTTCGTCACTACCTTGGCAGTGAACCGTCGGCGCATCCACCAAGGACGCGCTGTGGAGACAGTGACGTCGTGAATGAAATAGTAACATCACTCTTCTAAACATCATTGTAGGCAAAACTTCGGGCGCTGTTTCTGCGTCCAGTTTTGGAATGGGGCGACAAAAACGCGGAAAGTGATGTGTGCGTATCTTTGCCCGTTTGCTCGAAGCCGGAGCCCCAATACGGCCCCATCGCAGTTTAGGAGAGGAGGGCGCTAAGAGGATTATCTTCCCTGCAGAAAGCAGAAGCTGGTGCGTCGGCCTTTAACCGTGGTAAAACGTTAACGGCATTTCCAACGAGGGGGAAGTTTAGGTCGCGTGGCCGGCAGAGTAAGGACGGTGGGGAAACATGACGGTGCCCCCGCGATGTTTCGTCTTGAACACGGCGACGAGGGGACTGGAAACAAGCTGATTACCAAAATGAGGTTAGCTATTCATGCGGGAAGAGTTCACTTGGAAAAAACAAAATGTGGGTAAGGGAGAGAGGGAGGGGTGGGGGGGCGTTTCTTGTGGTTCCGCTTTTGCATAGGAGGGAAGCTGAACGAAGTTTTTGCTTTTGTTATCTTGAGGCGCGCGCAAACAATGTAAAAAAGAACGAAGAATATTGCCCCGTCTACTGGCTTTTACTTAAGGGGTATTCACACGAGGGAGAAATCCCGGGGATTTCTCCCCGGCACGCGCGCATCACGAGATGAAAACGCGAGGCTTTTGCACATCGCAAAGCCTGACGTTTTCGTCGTGGGATGCGCGTGCCGGGGAGAAATCCCCGGGATTTCTCCCTCGTGTGAATACCCCTTTAATAGCGAGTTCGTTTCACACGCACTGGCACCGTTCGAGTTCTCTCCCAGAATGCATCGCACTCACAGAGTGTTGCACGGAAAACTGGACTCAAACGAACTCGCCAAATGCACCGCGTGCAGAAGACTGATGTTGCCGCCATCTATGTTGTAGAAAAGGTACCGACTTCAAACCGAAACTAGCGCCTTTCTGTTCGGAGTGATGCGTGGGAATGCGAGAATGTAGTCGGCTACCAACGTTTATCTACAAACTGCGGTCGCTGCAACCTGTAGTTTATAGTTGCGATGACTTCAAGCAGCTCGGCTGCCGTAGAGATAGTTACAGACGGCGTAAATTTTTGCACCCAGTTTTATACAAAGCAGCTGGTTACGATCTTTCAATTCTTATAACCGTTTACACTGAAGAAAACTGATGATGCTGTCCGAGCAGAAGCTTGATCCGTTTGAGCATGGTATTATGCGTGAACCACTGAAAGGGTACGGCTTAAAACTAGCCTGTTGGAATATCCAGCAAAACTGGGACTTTCGATTTGGATTGTCATTATATAGGTGGATCAGAAATTAGCCTTGGTGAGGGCGTCAAGAACGAGAGCTTTCTCGAACAAAATACGACGGGGCAAGTTAGCTGACGTAGGTAAATGTTAAACATGATGATGTTGCCCAATCCTCGGGTAAAGTTACCATCTTTAGCTTTCTCTGATGCTTATTGGGCAGACAGAGGTTTCTGCTGGGGGAGTGTTGGCGACAAATGTTAAATTTTCCACCCGCACACGGATGATGATAGACATCTCGGGGGCCGCTGTTACGTTTGTTCTGAGCATTTCTTTACACACTGGTATATTTCAGCGTTTGTACGGCAACAGAGCGATTTAAAACCTGCAAATAAATCACGGGTTGTCAATTGCTTCCTTCGGGAAATAGCAGACGCTCACAATTCAAGCTCGCGTTTGATTTCGTGGCCCGCGGGACGCGATTTCTATCAGAAAATCTACTTTTTGTTCCGTTCGGTTCCGCGACACATCGTAGCAGACGAACCCTCGTCGTCTGCTCCCGCTCCTCGCCGGCCCCGCCGGAGCGAGGCATGACGGGATTGCATTTTGGCGCACTCCCGATTTTCTCGGTGCAGCGAGTGCATGCACGCGTGGGGTGTCAGCGCTGAAACGAACTCGGAGAGTGCAACCACTCGTGGAGTGCCGGCTGAAACGAACCCGTTCCACGCTGCGAGTGGGCACGCGTGGGCACGAGTGCCGTGAAACGAACTCGCTATAAATTTGGCCGCAATATCAAGACGTTCAAATTTTGTTCTGCTAGCTGCCGTTTTGGGTTGTCTCTACCTATCGAGGAAGGCACCTACTAAAACTCCCTAATGATAGAACAACACAACCACGCACGCATGCACATTTATATATTTAACCTTTGATAGATTCGTAATACAATCGGTAGTGTAGCGCGTGACAACACAGCGCTCGGCTGGAGTTGGTAATAACGTAATCTCGCAAGGGTAGGACGGCGGCGCTGCCGATTCCAGCCGTCCCAGTGTTGCCTCATTTGGCCACGGTGGCGCTGATGATCAACCGACGGTGGCGCTCTCTAGAACCCTGCCCAGAGACCCACGATTATCAGCGACCTCCACGCTTCCCCGTTCCCCGTTGTTCGGCAGCACCATGAGTTGTAGCGTGAATTTTTCGACAGTGTGAAAGGCGGGACATTTTGAAGATTTGGGAATTTCCCGCGGGACGCGGGACACGATCCCTCAATGCGTGACAGTCCCGTGACTCGCGGGACGGGTTGTTACCCTAGCTAGCAAGTACAATGTACCCTATGGCGCAGCTCTCCGCAGTTATTTCGGAGAAGCGTGGCTTCTCATGATTTTTTAGTGTATTGACTACACGAACTGCCAAGAGATGAAGCTACCTCTCTATCGCGCAACTGCCGCGCGCATCCCGCGTGCGACACAACGGAATCCGAGAGGAGACGAACGGCAGCCATGGTATTCGGCGCCACGCCGCGCGCTTACCTACTTTAATAAAGTTATATTTAAAGGCAAAAATAACAATGGATATTGCGGTTTTAACCGAAAAACACCGCTAAACATCCGCAGGTAAATTAAATCTGAACACTTCGTCTTTTATGATTTGTTTGCAGCGATCGCAGCGATAATTACCATTTCCCTTGTCTGTCAAAACAAGGCGTGGAAATACGCAGACTCAAAAATAAACAGTGAGAAACATGCCTCATCTCCTCCAAAGTTGATTTGTAGACCACTAGCGCCGCATTGTGAAGCATTGTGAAAGCACCGAAAGAGAAACTCGGAGGAGCTCTCGCCGTTCTTACAACCTCGATCGACATCGACGTTTTTAAAAACGGCAAAAATAATGGCAGGCCGCGCAGGCTTTTCTGGTGTTTCTTGAATGTTGCTGGTTGAATGAACCTGTGCGTAAAGCCGTTTTAAACTGCCAGCGTGTACTGCGCTGGATAGTGACGGCGCAGTCTTGTTAATGAAGGTAATTCAGTGCGCTTTTGTACCACGAAGATATGCTAAAGTTGTGAAGCTATTTACGGGGCTGGCGTGCCTTGCGCTGTTGTTTGGTCTTGCTCAGTATTCCTTATCTGGATGCTCACGGCATGACGTTGAAGCCTTTCTGTCATACCTAGTAAGTACCGATTTGTACTAGAGTTCTGTTCCAATTTTCAGATTTACATGGTAGTTGTGCATTTGTCTGATTGCAGTGCAACTCGTACAAGAGAGGCGAGATATCGGGAGACCTTTGCCCCCATCTATGCTCCGACAACTTCTCCAACATCCAATGTCAGGGGCAGCACCTTGGAAAGGAGGTTGTCTTCTCGGCGACCTGGAACTCCGAGCGAATCGTGCTGAAGGCCAAGAAGCGGCACCTCGACTCGCTGGAGCCCGTATACTGGACGGACAGCCAGAGACGCAGGCACTATCCAGACGACAAGGCTTTCGCACACATGGCCAACGCTCAGTTTCGCTTTGCATTGCGGCGGAACGGGAGCTGGGTGAAAGGGTTCTTTGGCAGTCACCTGACCAATGCTCAGATGGACAGCGTTTACGGGTTGCTCCAGCAAACGGAATACCTCTTCAGCCTGGCGCTCCGAAACCATCATGCTGTCGCGTCGCTTCTGGGAACCTGCGGTCACGCTTACGCTGTCGAGTTTTTATCGCCGCTGGAAACACATGGGCAGAGAAGCGGGACATTCAAGCAACGTGCTGGCATCGGCTTGCGCATCTTGCGTACCCTGGAGACCTTAGAAAGTGCCATGGACGAGCATATACACCAGTGCGACATGAAGCCCAACCACTTTGGCATAGATAAGAGGGGCAATGTTAAAATGCTAGACTTAGACGCTCTGGGGCTGCAATCTGCCGTGCAAGCAAACATTGCCAACACGGGGCATTGTGAGTCTGACCGAGACTGTGATTTCTTCGATTGTGCTGGCCGCTGCAACGACCAGGGTCTTTGTGATGCTGTTGTACTCAATGATAACTTGCAGGTAAGCCATACCCTGTTGAGTTTGTCCATGCAGGCTTTTCATGCTTATTGTGATCCATAGGTCCTGTATATTCCAGCTGCTCTCGTGCGACATTCCTTGGTCTAGGCCCATTGTCGAAAACCAACTTGTGGAATAGGGCAACTCATCGAAGAGGCCAACTGGTCGCCGCTGTTTCGAAGTCATAATATGCAATTTTTGTCCTGAAATTTTAAAGCAAATCCTGTCCTACAGTAATTTGTAGAATCTCCACATGGTAATTGACCTCTAGTGTGCTCTTTCTTGTTGAAGATAACAACTTGCAGCTCTCGCCGCTTTCACCCTGCAGCGTGGGATGATCACTATATCGTGCATGTATCACTGCGGTGTGTGTTAACCTACTCGACCCACCCGTTAACGCTGCTTCGCGGAGGACAATCTGCAGCGGCTCATAACAGAAAGTCTAACCCACCTGGTCCACCCATTCACGCTGCTTCGCGGCGACAGTTTGTGGTGGCTCATTACAAAAAGTAAAAAAGAAAACAAGCGAAAGGACGATCCCGAAATGAGCATTTCTCCATTTGTCTCTTGGCACTGTCCTGTCTTCGCCCTGTTGTGATTTTTCTTCCCGTCTTGTAACATAACAAGGGCACTGTCCCTAGTCCAAATACAAATAAAAATTTAGGTCAAAAGATAACAAGAAATCACAAACTTTTTCCTTAGACCTTCATTCAACCGATTCAACGAACCGCCCTTCGACATATTGCCCCTTTCGACAAGTTGCCCTTCGACAAGTTGCCCTTCGACAAATTACCCTATTACAAATTGGCCGTCAACAACTTGGCCGTCAACAAGTTGGCTTTCGTCGATTTGGCTGGATCCTGACATTCCGGGACTTGGGCTTCAATTGCAGCTGCCCCGACAGATCTATCCACATTCAGACTAGACATTGAACTTACACTTTGTTGGAGGGAAGCACTGGCCACAGTAATATTTGTCATAAAAAACTTTTTAACATGAGAATTCAAAGTAGAGGGAAAATGAGGGCTTGCAGTATGGAAAGTACTTGTCATGAACGGTTCACTCTGTAGCTTCATGGCATGAGAGGAATGTCCATATTTTTCCTAAATAGCACGGGGTTCTCTACAGCACATCCTCTCTGTGCCCTAGCTATAGAAGCTTTGTAATGGTTAGATCTCTTCATCTTAAAGAACCCTTTGGTTGAAATATTTTCCAAAAAAACTAATTGTCATCTTAAAATGTTGGTAGGTATTGAAGCTCTTATGTGCATACCTCCAACAAAAAAAGGCAGGTTGTAAAATAGTAAGCTCTATGATCATCTAAATGTTAATGTAATTATCTGGACAGAAAAAATTTACAGGAGCCATGTGTTTAGTTAATCTCTCTACATGTGCCTTTATAAATCAATCGGGTATGTAAATATATTTTTCTGGGTGCCTAACTGAGGAAGCGTCGCTATACTTTGTTCACCCCAAAGCTGCGACAGCGGTGAAGGCTACGAGCGCGTTGGACCAGTCGTGCGTCAATCCTTTGCCCTATGATCACGCACTCGCCCACATCCTTGTGCGGAGAGCTGGGTCATGTGATGAAAGGGAGGTGGTTGATTGGTCTGGCGAGAGCGTAGCTCGTACTGCAGTCTCGGCTTGGGGGTGAACGAACTGTAGAGTGATGCTTTCTCATTTTTGGCACCTACCTCTCTAACCGTGTGGACTCCCTGAACTTGAGACAAGTTTGCTAGACACTGGAGTAGTGTGTGACCTATATTGAAGACCTTTGTGGTTGAAACAGATCCCAAACAGTGACGTAGCCAGGATTTTTTTTTTTTTATTGTGGGGGTGGGGGGAGGCGAGCGGGTGGGCGGCTGGCTGAGGTGGCTGGGATGTCCACGACTTGGGGTGCAGAAAGGGGGAGGGGGGGTCAAAATATATCTGTGTATTATAGGGTAGGCTGGATTTTAGGGAGGGGGGAGGGGCTGAGGCCCCATTAGCCTCCCCCCTAGCTACACCACTGATCCCAAAGTCAGACAGCCGAGAAACCAGTGGCCGGGTTTGGGAAATTTTGGAATAGTTGTGCTGCTGAATCCAGTTTATTAATAACTGTGTCTCTTTTCCTTCCCAGAGGGTCTGCAAAAACATCTTCTTGGGCAAGATCTTTGGTCGATTTTCTGGTCTACTGCGAGGTCCACCTTCACATATAGCTTCTGATATCTCTGTGGTTCTGAATGACTGCATAAGCAGTACCAGAGGTTCTGTTGCAAATAACGAAAGTTATGCCATTCACAAGAGGCTTGTTCAGTTGCTTCAGAAAGCACTAGTGCCATAAACGTTACAGAGGTAGGCTGTGAAATGGGGACACCGTTTGTGTTCAAGGCAAGTTTTTTTTTGTTTATCTTGGAGGGGGGGTTCTACCTATGCTCAATTTCTTCAGAGATGTACAGAGCACGGCACAGTTAGCACGAACAAGCAAGTGTCGATTTTTCAAATTTTTTTCTTAGAATAGAATGGTTATTATCATACTTCTAGTAGTGTTGGCTAGTACTCAATCGGGGTACCAACTCGAGCTGTAAAGTTTAATTCTCATCAATACCTTCTCTGAGTAAAATGCAAAAAGGTGTAGATTGTGTGTTCAAGCTAGCTGTGTCATGCAGCGTACCTAGATTCTCAATTGCTCAACTGTTTGTTTCTTCAGTGCTTTCTTTTGAATGAATGGTCTCCTATCTCAATCTCGTGAGTGTTTTTTTTTTTCTTCTTCTAAGTATCGGTGCTTCAAGGGGTGCTGACAGATCAAAATCATATTTTTTTTATTATCCAAAACAATTGAAAATGGTGCCGGCACATTATCCTCAAAATTTGAAACTTGAAAAATTCAGTATTTGTGAAGTAAAAAAACAATTTCCAAATGCCGAATTCGGAGTTCCTGCGCGATCCGTGCTGGTGCGTTGACGTCAAATATTGCGGAGTCCAGAGAGTCAACTTTCTTTCACGACTCCGGGCTGTTGCCACCGCGACTCGATGCGAGGAGGAAAGGAATGGGAGATGAGGGCACTGGGCGGACCAAGAAAAAAAACGGTTTTCGGTGCCGCCTGCCCAGGCTGCATGTTCTCCGAGGGAGGATACAATTTCAGAAGGCGACATCACACCGAATTCTGATTTTCGGTATTTCAAAAAGAAGGGCCGTAGTACGTTCGCATTTGCATTAAAAAACATGTTTTACGATTGGCGTTATTAAATGTTATAGAAATGTCGCCTACAAAGCTTCTAAATTTCATGGTTTTTGACATCACGAATCAAAAGAAGCGAGTAGGCGAAGAGTGGGGAGATAATAGTGCCAAAAATAGAAAGGCACGCGCGCGCATGGAAAGTTTTTTTGGTTTTTTTTGCGATATGTTTTTTTTTTGCGTGTCTATGACTACAACTTGCATTGTTTTAGACAATAGAAAAAAATACGACCCTTGGGGTGTCATTGCCCCTTTAAGTTCTCAGTATATCACAAAAGCCTGTTTTTTTCTGGGTATGGGCTTTTGGGTTTGGGTAGTACATATTTTTTTTCCTGCATGTGGAAAGCTATATTTTTTAAGATTTATATCTTTTGCCACAGAAATGGAGTGACTGTTAGAATTTTGTTCTTTATTTGTGTGGTTCTTTTTTTTTTGGAATTGGGTGTTTGGGTGGTTCATTTTTTTACCAAACCCGGTGTTGTTGTTTTTTTTTGTATCCCTAATGTCGGACAAAAAAAAAATTAGCATTTCTTGGGGCTTACGTTGAAGGAAACGGGACACAGGCATGGGAACCCCAAACATCTTGGGGAACATACATATAGGCCGAATGCTTGGAGAATGTCCCAGTACCAATAAGAGAGGTTAACAGAATAAGGGTTGAGTACTTAAAGAAAGTAGCCTTGGGGATGAGGGGATGATTGAGTGCAGGCTGTGTTCTGGATTGACAGAAAATAAAGCTGTAGACAAGAAATTTTTTTTTTCATGAAGCTTGAATTTTTGGCAGTTTGATACTTTAGACCCATGTTACGGATTAAAAAAAAACAGTGCAGGATGGCCAAAAAAAACATGCTTTTCGTATAAGGCTCATCAAATTATGAGGCGCTGAAGAAAACCAGCCTTCTGCATGAAGTCCTTATTTCAAACTTTTTTTTCGCATTCCACCCGTGGAGAAGCATGCAGGAAGCGCCTTAGCACACACCTCGTATTGCTGCGCTGCAGTGTTCTTCCGCAGCATAAAGGCCGTCTGCTTCCATCGCCGTCACCACGGCAACGAACGCCGAATGACCTTTTCGGAAGGCACGTGTGTCACTGGGGTCTCTGTGTTCATGCCGCTTTGTGGCGACAGTCTGCGGCTGCTCATTAAAAAACTATTGAACTTTAGTTAGCAGACGGCGTTCGGAAAATCGGTGTTCGTTGCCATGGTGACGGCAATGAAAGCAGACGGCCTTTATGCTGCGGAAGAACACTGCAGCGCAGCAATACGAGGTGCGTGCTCAGGCCCTTTCCGCATGGTTTTCAATGGGTCAAACGCAAACAGAAAGAGTTAGAAATAAGGATTTAAAGCAAGAAGGCTGGTTTTCTTCAGTGCCTTATAATTTGACAAGATTTGGACAAAAAGCATGTTTTTAGACCGGAGTTTGGAGATAGCTTTTTTTACAACAACGTGGGTCTAAAGTATCAATGTGCTGAATATTTTTATTCAAGGATAGCTCAAAATCTGAGTTTTTCGTTCCTCCTTGATTTTGATCAAACTGGCTTGGGGGTTAGTTTTCGGGGTTAACGGCATATCCTGAAGACGGGGAACCTCACTTACGACTCCTTTCAGTGTCTATTGGGCTACATTTTGACTCGCCCTCAGAAACTAATCTCGCCAGTGTTTGACAAACTCAACACCACGAATGCTGCGCAGGCCAGCACTCTCAACTTGCGACCAGTGATCATTTGTCTGTCTGTTCTGTCATTAAGCATGGAACAAAAGCTGTTGTGTTGGTCATCATTGAGCTGAAGAAAAACATACTATAGTCACTGACAAAATGAGAACAGCAGGGAGGAGTTTCAGTTGTCTCGCCTCCAGCTTTCAATCACAATTCGGCGTCTTGTGCATCTTAAGCATGCACACACAGCCAAAGCGTGACGTAAGGCATGAGCGCATGCTGGGGTCTGGGCATTTGAAAGGGACACCCACAGCACATTCATTTTGACTCCTTTATTTTTTTATTGGAGACAAAACTTCAGTCATTGATTATGACATTTTGCATTGTTATTTTGGGTAACAGTGGTAACGTATCAAATTAGTGATGACGGGTTCACCAGCATGTCAGCACTGACATCAAATTGCGAGATAGCTTGAATGTTTTGGGCTCTACAAAGTACCATCCCCATGGTGGTAGTTAACCAGCATGCCAGCGCTGACATTAAATTGTGAGAGTGCTTGGGTGGATTAGGCTCTACAAGTGACCATCCTAATGGTGGTCATTTGTAAGAGGCCAAGAGGAAAAGGGAGGCGGGAGGTGTTGCTCTGTGCGCAAATTCATTGTTGTCACGAAGAATGCGACTCCAAACTTGGTGCGCTCTGTTTACTGTGGCATCACTGGGTCCAGGGTTTGTGAAGTCAAAAGTTCAATCAGCTTATGCAAAGGAGCATGTAATGTTGGAACTTGGGAGTTCGGGCACTGGGCAGGACAGCATTGGGAACACATGGGATTACTCCAGATGAAGGAATGCAAGGGGGCATAGGCTGGATGTCTTCGCAGGGTAGGGCTTTTATAATGTGTACTGGAAATGACTGGTTTTCCTGCACCCCTCCCTGTTACTACGCCACTGCCCCCATCATCTAAGCCCAAGACAATACACGTCGAAGATCCTACACCTGCTCTATAGTCCGTTGCAACCTAAGAACGAAGGGTGAGGGTAAGACAGGCCGGGGAGGAGGAAGCAGACGGAACGCTAAAGAGAGAAGGAGGTTTCCCCCCCCCCCCCCCCCCTCTTCTCCAGCGTTCCGTCTGCTTCCTCCTCCCCGGCCCGTCTTACCCTCGCCCTTCGTTCTTAGGTTGCAACGGACTATAGTTTCTTATAGATCTGCGTAGCTCTCAGGCGCCCGTTTCCGTGTTTGCCGGCATCGGCGTAACCGTGCTAAATTTGTCGGGAAAATTGATGTCACGTGACCTCAACACCAATTCAATTTCTTGGAAATATAGCGGGGAAATTCAGTTTCTCCACTAGATTTAGCAACAAAATTGACGTCGCATGACCTCAACATCAATTGAATTCCCCGCTAAATTTAGCGGGTAATTGGTGCTGAGGTGACATAACGTGAATTTTCGCATAAATCTAGCGGAGAAACTGAATTTGTTCACGAAAGAAAAAAAAAATGAAGGCCATTTACAAATTCGTAGTGCGAAATTAGAGCGCAGCTCTCGAGGAGTAGGAGAGAAGGGTGTGCCCCTCATCCTCCTTCATCCCCTCCTCTCCCAATTAATTTTCCCCACTGTCCTTCATTTTTCTTTTCTTTCGTCAATAAAATAATTGAACCCTACAAAAAAGATGTATTGCCAGGATTTTTTTTTTTTTTAAGCCCCTCTATCCTAGGGCTGATGTGTTTGGAACGTCCCTGACTTTTGGGGTGGGCAAAGGGTTAATAAAAAAGTGCCTCAACCCCCCCCCCCCCCCCCCTTTCCCCTCACACACGCACACACTCACTGATCGCCTGTGTCCGATCCCCGAGGCGCGAGTACCGTTTACCCAACGCTATTTTTTTTTTTTCTTATGTAAAAAAACACGTTTATTTGAAATTATTATCATTCCAAAACCAGAACCACTAATATTTCCATAGACTCGTCGAGGCTGTCAACGCGCCAGTGTCTCTCACAACACAAAGTTGGGAGCTTCTAAACCACTGTATTCGAAGTTTCCCGCGACGAAATCGTGCCACACGACAAAATCGCACCACGCGCGGAGAGCGGATAGGAATCCAGCACAATCCGGATTAGAGTCCACCGCTATCCCCACTCGGAGTGCGATCGGCTCGGCGCCGGCAACCCCCGGTCACAGTATTTCGCGGCGCTGACATTAGCGTCGCCACCGGCAGCAGCGCTCGGGCGGTGGGGGGCTGTCATTAATATAAAAATACAAATATAGTACTTTGTTTGCTAATAGTAATTTCAACAAAACATCTTCACGACACCATGATAATAAAATGCAATTTATTTTATATATTTCTTTTTGTTTGTTGTTTTCGGTCTGAAACCAAAACTCTAAACCGACCTGCTCGCCTCGCCGGCGCCCTGGGCTGTTGCCTGGGCCCTGGAAGGCGCCGCTGCTCCCCTCGCTCTACCCTCGTAACGGGGGACGGCGGAGTGGCGGTGTCGCGTGGCTTTGTTTACCCAAGGGTCGTGCGAGCGTGGTTTCGCTCTCCGGCGTTCCGCGTGCCTGTCGAACTCGATGGATATTTTGGTGCAAACTTTCAGAGACTGTTGAGAGGTGCATTTTACGTGGCCATATCCCAATGGCGCACGAACAGCGCAAGTGCCAAGACCCACAAGTTTTTGTTTGTTAATTTTGTTTGTTTTTTTTTCAAGAAAAGACAGGTGAGTATGTACAGGGTGTCACAAAAGAAAATTTATACCATCTTTTTTACCGCAAAAATAAACTAGGCATCGCCGAACGCTCATTCTCCGCCCATAGGTAGAGCTAAAGGTCACAACCAGATGCCAAAGTTTCAGCCCGTTCCGATAACTTAATCAAAAGTTATAAGTGATTTTATGAAAATTTCAATGGGAAAATGGCGGCCGACGGAGTTTTCAAACACATGGGGCTCTTTGGCACCAGAAACCGAAAACGGGCAAAAATGGGCTCCATTTTCCCATTGAACTTTTCAGAAAGTCACTTATAACTTTTGATTAAGTTATCGGATCGGGCTGAAACTTTGGCATCTGGTTGTGACCTCTAGCTCTACCTTTGGGCGGAGAATGAGCGTTCGGCGATGCCTAGTTTATTTTTGCGGTAAAAAAGACCGTGTAAATTTTCTTTTGTGGGGTCCATATCACATGAGCGAATGACATTTTAGCGAACAGCGACATTTGAGCGAACGGACGTTTTAGCGAATAACGGGGGCGCGCGTTAACCCATCCGCCGCGCTGCGCTTTACGCCGCTTCGCGGCGACAGGCTGCGGCGGTTCATTACAAAAATGTGAACCCATTTGGCCCACCCGAAAACGCCGCTTCGCGGGACCGTTCGGTTGGGCCAGGGGGCGCGCTGGAGCGGTACCAGTGGCGCCGCGCCGTGGCACAAATTCGCCCTACTTAGCCGTTCGCTCGTTCCATCGCGCTGCCAGTTGCAATGGCAGGCGCCGCGTTGAAGCTTTCTGTCCGTTAAAAAAACTGTGATCATTTTTTAGGGAGGTGAACCTCCACAAAGAAAGGTTGCCTGTGTGTCAGGTCTCCGGGGTGGAGCAGCTAATTCAGGCATAGGAATATTTGTCGTTTGCGAAGTGTGTCTCGCAAGTCCAAGACAGCGTTGACTGTAACATCCGCCTCGATATAAATGCTCCTTTTCTTTATGGATTCGCTAGCTCTTCAAAGTCAGGGCTATTCGGACAAAGATGAGGATGCAATATTGTTTAAATTGTCTTTTCGCGCACAGCTGCGCTGTCGCATACACACCTTGAACTGAGGTCAGTTCTCGGAGTTACCGGCTGATGGAAGCATGCCGCACCTGTTCTAATTCATTCGGATGAAGTTAGTGACGAGGCATGTACAGCCTGAGCGCAACACTGGGTCAAGTTCTAATAAAAAACCGAAACGGCACGTCAATAAGGCCTCCGCTTTTATTTTGAGCGGGCCCAACAAAAAATATGACACCTTGCTGTGTTTGTGCGCATCTGGCGCTGCCGTCAAAGCGGTAGAATCGCAATTCATGTACATGTGTCAGTAACCCACTTTTAATTTTATTAGTGAAGAGAGCGATTTCCAATCGACTTGCATTTGAGTTGTAAAGCGTCCCTTTTTTTTAACTTATTTTTATGTGACCGCAGATGATAATTTTGAACACTGTTCCGGTTCACAGCAAATAAAAAAGTGTGTGCATGTCACTATTTGTTTTGTTTGCTGTTTAGGTACAATTAAACTTGGTATATCTTGAGGATGTGTGCCAGGCGAGGATCGTCAATATTCCTTCACTCTCTCTCTCTCTCTCTGCAAGAAAAGATTACTTAATTTTAAATTTCAGTCATGAATGCTTGGTTACTGGCCTTTGTGACGTGCCCTGTCCTCGTCCTTTTTATTTTGCTTTCAATTTATACATCGAACATTGCCAACACACTCTTATTGGTTGACCGAGGAATGTCCGGGTTTGATGTTTTAGAGTTACTTGGAAAGTAATTATGCCTGTTGTAGGTTAACTACATAATTTTAATAATATAAAAAAAAAAAACTAGAGTACGGCCGTCGGTGTAAATCTCTTTTCAACTATGCGCTCAAGTCAGTGCTCAATACGGGCTGTGATTATCTGCCTCATTAGCCCTCATGTCTTTCGCTGCTTACTCGCCTTCTCTTGTAAGCATCAGGGAATAAAATGGATAGAAATTACTGTGAGAGCGCAGGCGAGCCGGTGTGTATATTAACAATTTGTATGAATTGCCCGAGACTGGGGCGAAAAAACTAAAAATATCAACAGTGTATGAGAGATACCTCTTTCTGTCCACGGTTGATGTTTCTAGTTTTCTCGACTCAGTCTCCACTAATTTATCAAAAGTAAAAATTGGCTAGTAGGAAAGGTCAGCTCGGTTCTAAAATTTAAACTTGTTTAAAAACTAGTAACTGCATAATCGGGTTTATTGCGTCGACACCCACGGGGTACCACCCTAGCTATTACATTAGGAACATCTAACATTGCCAACACGCTCAAATTGGTCGACCCAGGGATGTTCTAGAGTCTAATATTGAGAGGCCCTTGGAAAGTAATTATACCTGTTGTGGGCTAACTACATTACTTTAATAATATATAAAAACAACTTAAATACAGCCGTCAATTTCTGTTCAATTATGCGTCCAAGTCAGATCGCAATAGGGGCTACGCTTATCTGCCTAATTTTTCCCCAAGTCTGTTGCCGCTTACCCGCTTTCTCTTGTTAACATCGGGGAACAAAATGGGCGGGTAAGCAAAGTGAGCTTGGTTCTCAAATTTAAAGTCGTTTATAAAAAAAAAAAGTGGTAACTGTGTATTTGGGGTTTCGTTTGTAGACAGCCGTGGGGAACCATCGTAGCTATTACATTAGGGACTTATCGTAGAACGTCAGTGTCGAATTGCGGGCCCCACGGGCGCCAGCTCAAATCGCCCCCAAGCAACGCAAAACCCCTGCATGCCATGCAGGGGTTTTGCGTTGCCCTGCTCTCGCGTGTGACCTACGAAAAGTCCCTAAATGTGACAAGCAAGCGTAGCTGCATTACTGAATCACGCGACAAGATAGAGAAACAATAATTAAACCAGTCCTCCGCACAGCTGGCGATTCATGCTTCTTGTGATCTTTCTTGAATTACCTCCCAGTAACCAAACAGAACTTTTCGGGAGGCGGATACCTTTCTGTTTAATACGATGCTGTGACATTTGGGTACCGCTTGCATTCGGTACATTATATTACGAAGCTCGAGGCCAGCACGACACAAGCGCACCAGCCTCCTGCGTCGTCTGCTCCTCGTACTTCTAACAAGTATCGGCGCGCCTCGCCAGGGGGAGGAGTGGCGCTGCGTATGCGCGGCGAACGTCATTCGATCAAGTGAGTGCCTCCCCAAGTACGGCCCCACTTCGATTTGTACACAACTGCTTATTTAAAGTGTAACAGTTGGGTTTAATCTTGAAAATGCTCTTCGGCGGACCTCGAACAGACGGAGGATAATAAAAAAGAAAGAATGAATTTCATTTATTTCTTCATGGTTCCGGGTGTGACAACGGCATTATGTCATTAGTTTATTCTCTGTAGATAGACATTTGTTTTTAAATTAGTTTAAAATTTTAAATATCGTTACCACATTGTCATTACAGATGCTGGGATATATGGAACGAGCATTTGAACGTTGTCTCAAGGAGGAAGAAAGCTTCGGACACTTCGTGGTTCCCCAGTTATACAGCCTGTTGAGTGCCAACATTTTTCGAAGCTTTATTTTACATTTTCATCTTGGTTGCGTGAGAAGCTTTGAATATGTAAAAATGGAGCTAATGATTGCTGGGGGCCACCTAAGTGACTTATATTTCTTAAATCAGTGAACAACTTTACTTTCAGTAAACAGCTGATTCGACTTGGCATGTTGAATGCGTAAGCGTAATTATGTGGGTCAATGTGTACACTTGTAAAGATATACGTTAGTGACAATTCCGAAGAAGTGATAGTGATAAAATTAGTGATAAAGCCCATTCCCAAGAAGGTGCGCGGCGCAGCATGTAATAATTAAGTGACGAGATTGTGCACAGATGACAGAGAGGTGCTGGCGATCTGAAACGGGAGCTTGTGGGCGAGGTTGATGAAGTGATTTTGTCAATGTTTTATGTTTGCGCGTATGCAGGTGCAGTGCTGTACTTAATTCCATTTTAGCATCTGTGCAATAAATATGCCTCGAAATATTGCGGTCGCAGCTCTGGATTCCTTACTGGACGGCGGGGCGCCTCGAAACGGAAGGACAACGAACACACACGAATGCGCACCTTATACAGCTGAAAGCGAAATCGCACATCGTATATTACGTTAGGGACTTTTAGCGAACTGTTACCGTGTTCCGCGTACTGCACTATCGGAGCCTTTGAAACATGCTTTATAGGCGCGCACCCGGAGTGATACCGTGACCGCGGGGCGCGCGCTTAAAAGCATGCTTCAAAGGCTCCGATAGTGCGGCACGCGGAACACGGTTCGTTAAAAGTCCCTATTATTACACTACCGGGACCGGGCGTGATGCTCAGGAGCCTGGATCCAGGCTCCAGCACGACCCCGAAGCGATCATACGAGAACCACCCTACAAAAATCATGGACAAAAATAGAGAAGCGCCATGTTAGATTATTTACGGCTTGGCTTAGAAACGGCTTCAAAGCAGGCTTCTACGTTACAAACGTGTATATAAAAGTCGTTTTGAAAAATAAGCCAGATATTTTATTAATAGCATGGTTAGCTCTTAATATAATTTTATAATTTACCAAATATAAAATTATAAGTTGACTCGTTCAAGTAATGAGAGCCCCCCACCACGAACGAGGAATTCGGCGCTACCGTACAAAACTCGACTCCATTGGCCGTCCGGGGGTTGGTGCCGGTACGGGCAGTACGGGACGTACGGGTTTGCAGTGTTTGCAGTTCGCGCAGCTGTACATTATTACTGACACTCAGTGGCACTGCGTTGTGGTTGTTCTGGCTTCGTTGCTGCACTGCCTCTACCGCAAAGACACTTGTTTTTTTATGTTTTCTTAGACGATGGGTTCTACCTATCTGGAGTTAAAGTTGAGCCGCTTGCGGCCACTGATCAAGCACACTCTGGGACACCGACGCTTGCACAGTTTCCCTCCGCCGTTCGAGTCGATTTTTAATCGATGTCTACTGCATAAGGGCCGCCTAGCTATTGTCGACGGTCAAGGTGAGCACACCTACTCGAATATCTTGTCCCGGAGCGCCGCACTGCAGACCGATCTAGGCGAGCTACTCAAAGGAGAGTCAAAGCAACGGATCTCATTTTTGTGCCCCAACGATTCGCAGTATGTCGTAGCTCAGTGGGCCTGTTGGCTGGGCGGCAACGTAGCAGTACCGCTTTACTGGGGACATCCGCGGCCGGTGCTCGAATACTACATCAAGGACTCTCAAAGTGCTGCCCTGGTTGCCACCGCAGACTTCGCGGATCGCCTGCAACCGATAGCTACGGATCTCAACTTGCCGTTATTAGTTCTCGATTCTAAAGACACAACGGGGGACATCGACATCCCAAAACAAGTGAGACTCAAGTTTCAACACATTTACGGATTCGCGTACAGTCCACTATTTTCAGAATTACAGGTTCGAGAGTATTTGGTTACTACGGGTGCGTTGCCAGACGTCTGCTAGCCAGACGAAATGTTATTGAAAAAACGTCGCTTTTTGTGCCCATTTTGGATTGTGTTGGCCCCCTCTCTCCTTGACCAGCTAGGAAGGGAAAGAGAACCAAATACTCGTGAACCAAGAATGGTTTACAAACAAGCCTTCGTTTGCCCCCACCAGGTGGGAGCACTGGGCATGCGCAGAAACTGGATTTGAGTGAGGTGAAGCGTCTGTGCCATGCCGACAGCAACACTGCCGCAGCAACATTAGGTCAGAGCCACGTGTTGGTCTATGGAATGGAAATCACCAGCAAATTGGAACAATATCCCTTGTGAGCCGTTGTCGTCCTACTTTGCGTGGGCACAGTTCTTATTGACTACATGCCCACAAGGCATATTGTGCAGCTGTTAAGCTGCCAGTCTTCTAGCACAGCATGCTAGAAGACTTGCAGATGGACATGTGGACTTTGCTGTCGGCTTTCTTTGGCTCATTTCTATCTTTATTTTGTTTTCAGCATTGGTTAGCGGAGCTTGTGTGCACTTTGGCCGCGTCCTACTGACGACGGACCTTGACTTTTAATTTCTAAATATTTCTAAACCGCACCTGCGACGCCCCCTCGGGGACGACCCTGGTTCAACGAAGTTTTGGTGCAACTAAATACAGTAGGCATTTCAGTATATTTGATTTTTTTTTTCTGCATCATTCTTTCTTTCTTGGCCTGAAAACCCTTTAGCAGTGTAATAAATAGGGTTCCGTGTTTTCAGTAAATGCCGATAAACCCCGATAGTTAACCCCCGAGTTGATGTTATAAAATTGGGAAAAGAATAGCCTTTACCTACAGTTTTATTTTGTGTTGACCTTTAACAGGGCACCCAGCGAACTGTCCAGTGGCTGCTTCTTTCTTTGGGAACTACATCCCTTCTCGCGTTTCCTCCACTTACCAGTATGAGTGCGTTTTCCAAGTATTCAGGTCGAATTCCTCGGTGGTCGGGGAATTCTATGCACGCGTCTTATTTTCCTAAACCCCGATAAATTCCAATTTGTTGTCCGACACCAAGCTTTACACCAAAAAACACTAAATCTGTAGAAAAAAAAAATGAAAAAGGCTTTTTTGAATTTGAGGAAAAATAAACTGTGCAAACACGGAACCCTAGTTATAAATGACCACTCTTTATAGATCATAGATGGTACATACATTTGATCTCGCAAATACCGCAAAACCTTTGCTCTAGTGAAATGCAGTTCCAGGGTTCCCTCATGGGTGGCGCCAGCGTGCCGGTGTGTTCTCTCGTCTTAATTGAAATTTCAAGAACACAGTCGTAAGCAGACACGAGCGCACGAACGAGCTTTAGCAACACAAGTCGGTGGGTACCACTTCATGGCTTGGCCTTGACACTGTGACATATCCACTTGGTTTCAGAAAGCTGAGGAGTGGAAGCGTCTAAAGCACAAAGATGCACAAATCCTGTACACTAGTGGCACTACCGGACCTCCGAAGGGTGTGGTTACTACGCACCACAACCTCTTTGTTCAAGCTGCTGCTCTCATCAGTGCATGGGAATACAGCTCGTCTGATGTCGTGCTCCACACACTTCCACTTCATCATACCCACGGGATTGTGAATGCCTTGGTGACCCCCCTTTATGCTGGAGGCACGTGCGTTATGTTGCCCAAGTTCGATGCTGCAGAGGTAAGCGTGTTCTTTCCTTTCCAAGGGTTTTCAACCTGCCAAAAAACAAATAACAGATCTGCTCTTTAGGCATAGCACTGGAGGAAAAAAAAACACTAAAACCTGGTAGCAGGCCTATTTTTTATTAATTTGTTAAGGACAGGGCAAGTATTTCATATAAATAGACATCCAAAAATATAGACTGAATTTTAAAACTAAAATTCAAACTCTGTGCCATCTTTGAGGCAGTTTTCAATCAGGTTGTGTTTCCAGATCATGCTAATAAATTCAAGACTCTACGTTGCGGGATTCCAGATTGTTTGCATTGTGGTCTTCATTGACTCACCAAAAACATGTGCAGGCACTATTGGACCGTGAACGGCGAAGCGTGTGGCTTTCTATACATGCCGTGCTACCTGGGGGACATCTGAGAACTCTTAAAAATGTACAGTGGAGATGGAGCACATCTTTATGAGTTCTCAAGGGCCCCTCAGGTGATGCAGCAGCAGCATGTATCTAAAGCGACATGCTTTGCCGTTCGCATTTCATTCAGGCCCAAGTCATCCCAAATTGAACCATGAATGCAATGATGACGCCTGAGTACATTTCTTCTTGTGAAGTGAGGGTACATTTTTTGTAAGGGTACATTTTTTCTTGTGAAGACGAGCAATTGCTGAGCTTATTTAAGCCCAATATGCACAACTCTTGGGCATGGTGCGCATGCCGTTTCAGAAACCTTTAACTGCATCTTCATGTTTTAGTTCTTTATGATTCTAAAGCCGAATTCGCAAAGCGTTGGCCAGGGGAAACCAGTAGCACTTCGAGAAGTTGTACATTTGTTGTACATTTAAAGTTGAGATATGCTTGAGAATAGAGTACCGGTGCCTGCCAACTGGTTCAGTGTGCTTAGTTTGAGTTTCTGCAAAACTGCTCAAGCTCCGGTTGGCAGAACTGCTCAAGCAACTGGAAATGCTCGAGAAAGCATGTCTAGTTGCTTTGAAGTGCCATGACAGCCAAGCATCCATTCTTATCAAAAGCAAGTGTTGAATACCTTTGGAATGGCATGCTTACCCGTTTGTAAGCAGAGCAAGAAGAAAGAATGGTTTTGTCACGAGAAACGATACAAAAAAGTATAGAGGAAGACAAAGCTTAACGGTTACCACAGGCTCACCATCGAACCCCACATCTTCATGTAAATATTGTATATAAACCTTTTCTTATCCTTTTCTACTACAATCTTATACAAATCTTTGGTGCCGAAACCCGGGACGAAAGAAACACAACCACAGACAAGCTCAAGAAATTATGTGGAGTTCGATGGTGAGCCTGTGGTAACCATTAAGCTTCGTCTTCCTCTATACTTTTTTTGTCTAATTTCTCTTGACAAAACTGTTTCCAATTTCTCTGCTTACACAGGTAAAGCGTGCCATTCCAAAGATGTTCAAGAGCAACTTGCATTTTATCTTGACTGATGACGTGCTGTTTGGCGTGTTGGACGGCTTTTGATTTTAAGTCTCATTCTTTGGGAAAGTGGCACCCTTTTACATCCTCTAAAACTGGGACAACTTTTAAATGTTCTACCGAGTTATTCCTAACTTGAGTGACGCAGCGTAAAAGAAGTAGGTCTAGGTACTTCTCTTACGCTACACAGCGTAAGAGAAGTACCTAGTCATAGAGCAAGATAACCATCATAATACACCAAGAAACACGGACGAAAACCAAGGAGTGACTTGAGTGACACAGCGTGAGAGAAGTAAGACTAGGTACTTCTCTCAAGCTACACAGCGTAAGAGAAGTACCTAGTCATAGAGCAAGATAGCCATCATGGCGTAATACGCCAAGAAACACGGACGAAAACAAAGGAGGAACTGGACAGGACGCAGTCGTGTCCTGTCCAGTTCTTTCTTTGGTTTTGTCCGTGTTTTTTGGCGTATTACACCATGATGAGCAACCAACTAGCCCAAGTAGCCATCAAGATAGCCAGCTGCGTGGCGGTAGTGGCGCGCTGCCTGCGGAATCCGAGAGTTGGAACTAATAGATTTTCATTGGGAATTTTTTTCTTACAGGTCTGGAAACGACTAATAGAGGCACCGTCCCAAGGGCCACGTGTGAATATGTTTATGGCTGTCCCCACAATTTATGCCAAGCTGATAGAACATTATGACAGAGAATTTTCCAGTGGCATGTCTTACTCCAGGAGCAAAGAGTTCATCCGTGCCACATGCTTGCAGAAGTTAAGGTATATATACATATATGGTTCATTATTATGTTGTCTTCTGGCACATTTTACTATGGGGTGACATACTTAAAATAAGATTTTTTTTTAACTATAGCAGATCTACATCAATTAAAAAAACATTGTATTTTGTGGTATAAATTATTTTTTTTTGTCTATGAAATATTTTAGGGAAGGCATGGACTGACTTAATTTTCCTGTCTTCTTTTGTTCCTTTATCTTATCCTACTGAAACAGCAAAGTATGTAAAACTGCTGGTGTGTTTAGCAGCAGCAAATATGAAGCACGAAAGTGCTGCAGCTTACTACAGGCTAAAGCATGATAATATGAGGGTATATGCTATACCTTGACTGTTTAAAATCTTGTATTACTGTCGAGACCGGTTATAACGAAGCCGGTTATAATGAAATAGCGGCTACAGCGAAGCGATCACAAGTTCCTATTCCCGTTTGCGCTTTTTCAATGCATTTGTGTCTGCTTTTAGCGAAGGATATGATGATGATGATTAAGAGTTTAATGGCGCAGCAGCGACGAGGGTTTTAGCGAAGGAAATTGAGCGGCTCCTGTGAATATAGCGAAGAGAAATTTTGTGATAATTTGAAAAAGAATAAAATTCTGAAAGCTTAAGTTTCGGACCGCTGCACTTTTCTGCCGCGGCCGAGGAGCCACCCAGAACAGGTTGCAGAAGATGCGGGAAAGGCTGCCGGTGGCAGTCTGCAACGTCGTCTGCTCCCTGTCCCTTATCTGGGAAGCAGCTTTACCGCATCGCATGCGGAGAAGCCGTCGTGGCATGCCGATAGGGGCGTTCGGAGCGCTAGAGACAACATACCTGCGGAAATGACGGAGAGAGCCTAGATTTAAGAGAGGGAGCAGTAAGTACACCTGCATTTGATTGTCGCATGGCCAGTGTGACAAGGAAACTGGGCAGGGAGGCGGACACGTTTGCAGAAGGTGAACGCTTTTGAGTTTTGACTCCTTGCATGCTGCAGCTCGTTTTACAAACACAGCCCGCAAACCACGTGACCCCGATCGAGCAGTTGCCCCATCTCTTAAATCTAGGCTCTCCATACCGACGACAGACAAGCTTGAGCGCGAGCTTAGTGCCGTGCGCTCTTCTTTGTTTGCTTCGTGATCCATGTCGGCATCTGGTAGGTGAGGACACTCTTGCGCGAAAGTCTTCTTCGCTCTAGCACAGATTCGGCAAATCATTGCCACTAAACGACGGAGAGTGCCGGCACCGCTGGCACCTCGACGGGGAAGAATAAGGCAATCTCCTTGAATCAAAGGCGTGCCATCCTCGACGGAGTGCGCATAAACGTAAAGAATGCCGTCCACCGCCAGCGTCCTTCGCCGCGGCCGTCGCAGCTGTCGACACGGTCCATACATAGCGGGATCTTTTTTCGATCGGAGCTTCTTGCAGTTGGCGAGAAGCGGCTCCAATCTAGCAGAGGACGCGTGCAGGGAGGCTTTTACCGCTTTTTGAAGGCTCGACAGATATGTGCCCGTGACAGCCCGTGTTATCTTTTTTTCCAAGTTATTTGTATGAGTTCAAATATAACGAAGAAGCGGATAGAACGAAGTGATTTCTGATTCCCGTTGACTTCGTTATAACCGGTCTCGACTGTACTTCGAAACAGCAATTGCAAGGCACCAATTCTTACTGAATGAGGGGAAAACTTCGGTTAAAGTTGTCTCTTGCAATCTGGTAGTTTCAACTTGTTTTCAGAAATGTTTTAGAAGATGAATGTTTTTTTTTTTGTTTTTTTTTTTCAATTAATTTTTTGAGTTGCATAGTAAGTTTTCTATTGACTTTTTCGGCATGTTTGTTCAGGCTGATGGTGAGTGGATCAGCATCGCTTCCTCTGCCTGTCCTGGAGCGGTGGAAAGAAATAACGGGGCATACACTTCTGGAACGCTACGGGATGACTGAGATTGGCATGGCCCTCACCAACCCACTGCACGGCAGCAGAAAGCCAGGTGGGATTTGAGAATCACATACTCAGTACACAAGTATTTTTAAACATCAAATTGGACATCCAATTTTTTTTTTTTTTTTTAAGTGATTTTGTTGGTTTGTTTTGGCATTGCAAAGCAGGGTCTCAGAGCAATATTAAATATGTGGAAAAATGTGGAACATATTCTTCAACAATAGAAAAACAAAAGATAGAGTGCATGAGCACTGATAAGCATTTTCATGCAAACCAAATATACAATGCTACATTAAACCTGAAACATTTAATTTCATTAAGCATAAAATGCTTAATTATTATAAGTGCAATGCATTTGTGACAGGGACTAGTACTCCCTCAATCCATTTTTTGTAGGGTACATAGTTCTTACTCGAAATTTTGTATAGCTTTAATTAATTCCATAATTTAAATTTGGCATGGCTCATATAGTCTGCAGATTTTTAGTAGTACTTATACAAATCTTCATGAATTCAAACACTCGGAAGTGAGGTTAATAGGCCGTCTTTATATTTTACGCTTCCAGGTTTTGTAGGAAAGCCCTTCCCGGGAGTCAAAGTGTGCATTGCAAAGCCGAATGCATACTCGCCAACGGGGTACAACATCCTATCATCTGGTGACACTTATGGAACTAAGGTGTCAAAAGGCCATGAAAATGAATCTGGGGACCTGCTTGTCAAGGGTCCCAATGTGTTCAAGGAGTACTGGAACAGGCCAGAGGCTACAAAAGAAGCTTTCACAAGTGACGGCTGGTTCAAAACAGGTACGCATCTATGCTTGGGTGCCCACTGGTAACTTGTGACTTTTTGACTCGAGCGTAGTTTATTTAGATTGTTTCCTTCAGGGTCTATTTGAATATAGACCCTTCTCAAAATGAAGTGCCATCTAGCAGCTGAAAAAGCCGTTTCACTTTCAACAAACTAGTGGCTGTCATGGAACTGTATTTCAATGGGCACCGTCACTTTCACATGTTAATGGCAGATGAGCATTGGTTCTTTGATCACCTCATAATTCTTTCTTGATTTGTTTCAGTTTCAATGGTGTGAACATAAGAACTGACCAGCACAAACCGGTGGCTCATAAACCCCTCGATTAAATTTCCGCCATCAAAAGGCTTTAGAGGCAAACTTGTGCCAAGGGATTGATTGGACCAGACTCCGAAATAAATGCTTACGTTGTACAGGCCTCGTACGTCCTCCGCTTGGAATTATCTTTAACATCTTCCTTCATCAGCCTCAGGAAGGCCGCCATTAGTTTGGCTTAGATGCTATACACTGAGACGATGCTAGTGATCTAAGTTGCCAGTCTGAATTTTTAAAAGGGTATCTTTAGATATTGCTGGTGTACTATAAACTGTACTATCACACCATGGGAGAGCTTCCCTTTGGTACAGGGTGACCTTGGTGGCAGGGGGGGACCAGTCTGATTGGACAAGGAGCTCTTTAGGAGCACTAGGATGTCCACACTTGCCTCGATTTTGCGGAGCGTTCATGGAGGCTTCGCAGCTGTTACAACGTCAATAGCTTGGGACTGCGTCGTAGTCTGCTGATACGCACAGGTGGTCGAGTTCCGTGAATACTGCTGCAAACACATAATTTTTTACCCATTGGCACTGCCAAGCTAACCTCGTACCTGGTTCTGACGGCGGGTTCCATTACCATCACAAGCACCTTCAGTGTCAAGGGCATGCTCCCACACTTTCTGTTATAATCTATCGGAATGTTTTCTTCTGACAAAGAAAAAGCCCCAGTTAAAGAGACACTAACAGGTGATGTCATGTTGATAGTGAGGAAAAATGGAAACACGCATCAACAGGTTTAACTTTGGTAGTCACCTGCACTTGGGGCGACTTCGACGTCACCTATTTTCTCCTCAATTCTCGGCATAAGGTCCGGTTTCGGTAGTTTTTGCTAGCTCTTGAACACCCTGTTTTGTGAAGAAATCTTTGTATGAAAACTTGTATGAATTTTCGATTGAGCCCCCCCTAGAGACTTCGAAATGAATTTTGTAGAAGCGTTAGAAATTCTTGGTAGTGCCCCTGTCGTTGAGTTTCCACCTTCCGTTTCGGGATCCAGGGGACACGGCCGAGTGCCAGGGCGGTGACTACCGCATCCTGGGTCGCACCTCGTCGGACATCATCAAGAGCGGGGGTTACAAGATCAGCGCTCTGGACGTGGAGCGCCACCTGCTGGCCCACCCGAGCATCAGCGACTGCGCAGTCGTGGGCTTGCCCGACGTCACGTGGGGCGAGAGGGTGGCATGCGCCGTGGCTCTGCGGGACCCCGCGCGCGACCTGAGCCTGCAAGAGCTGCGCGACTGGGGCAAGCACCACATGGACGCTGCCATGATGCCCGTCCTGTTGCGTGTCGTCGAGCAGATCCCCCGCAATGCCATGGGCAAGGTCAACAAGAAGGACATCGTGGCACAGCTCTTTGCAAACTCCTAACACGCGTCCTGTTGATTTATACTCGGACGTCGAGCTCTGTTATACTCGTACGTTAAGCGTAGCAAAGGCGGCATAGCGTAGCGCTCACAGTTGCTGATTGGTTGCAGACATGGAGGTAGGAAGCTTCTAGAAGCGACATGGTGCCACCAGAGGTGAAGCTAGAAGTGTGGAGGGACATGCCCCCAACGATGACCAAATTAAAGGGGCGGTGCAACGATTTTCGGACGTCGGTCAAAGATTTCTGGAAGTTGCCCCCTGAAACTTCTGAAGTAGAGAACAGAAAACCGATTTCGCCTGCGTGTCATAGGTTTTGCGTAAAAAAAAGATAAAGATTGGTATTTCGGGCACCCCTCAACTCACTCCCAGTCTTCAGGGTCACACCTGGTCGCACTCCCAGTGACGTCATTCGGAGTGCCGTGTAGCTTCCCGTGTGCTATCTCGGAGGACGCTTCCCCTCCCTCTCTCTGCATACATTAGCGGGCGCTATGCTGCAGCTTAGAGCCGAGCGAGGTCACGTAATCTTTCCGCAGTAGTTCCTTCGGCTGCCACTTGGGGCTGCAGGTGGGGGAAAAAGCTCGACTTTTGCTTTGCGATTATGCAGCGGAATCGCAACATTTTTAATGAAAGAAGTGTTTTCTCTGTCCTCTGGGACACGATAAACAACGTGAAAATGACGAGATGCAAATTCTTTTAATCATAAAATCGTTGCACCGCCCCTTTAAGGAGACGCCCCGAGGGTGACCAAAGCAGCTATTGAGTCGGCTCTCCTTTTCGTCCAATGGCGTCTTTTGGTTTTGGTCATCGTTGGGGGCGTGTCCCTCCACACTTCTGGCTTCACCTCTGGTGGCATCACGTCGTCTCCAAAAGCTTCCTACCTCCATGTCTGCGACCAATCAGCATTTGTGTGCGCTGCGCAATGCCGCGTTTGCTACGCTCAACGTTAGAGTATAATGGAGCCTAAAGAAAGAACTGGTGGCCACTTTAGAGCAACCGAGGTGGCAGTCGTGGGCTGTGCTCGGAGCTCTCAGGACAAGCGCAAAACGGGCTCGATTTGCGTGCACTTGGCCCCAAGCTCCGGCAAGCGACTCGGAAAGTGCCCCTGGAAACATTTGCATTAGGAGTGTAGTGCACAAGCGACGAGAGTGCTTTGCATTCTATGTGGAGGCCCTAGCTGCCGAAATGTGTGTGCTTTTAGGAACAAGTGCGGAGGTGGGCAGTCTTTAGAGTTGAGGGACCTCTTCCCCGGATTAAGAACTTGTCACGGGCAAGTCGTGTAAACTAAACTTGGCAATTGTTAGGAATACCTAGTAGTCTCTCAAAATTACTCTTTAATTTGATTTAGTAATTTGAAACATTGATTTGTTATTGCAAATGCTGAGATCAGGTTGCACCAATATGGATTTATTCTTCACGAGGGCTGCAAGGGAACAGTAGTAACAGGGTTTCCTTGCTGTTGACAGGAAGGGATGAAGCAAATGAGACTGATTGTGTGGGTTTGCAAGGAAAGTATAATTCAATGGTATCTCAGCAGCTGCAATGTGAAGTATCACTATAGGACACTTGTCAGTAACGGAGGTCCGTTTCGATTAGTAGGTACATTTTATAGGCTCCCCTGTAAACACTCATCTTGAAAGAAGTATATTTCCCTCACATAGTTCTTCTAAAATAAATTTATGTTCGACATTAGCATAAAATATTGCAGCGAGGTTTTCTGAATCGTTCGGAAATAAGTCAGATACGTTTGATTTGGAATATTGCAATATATATAATGCTTCAAATAGAACTCCCTGGAAGCCTCAGAGCAGTACTAGACATTTTTTTAGGAAACTCGAGTGCTTCAGGCCGCATCATTGTTTGCCAATCGATTTGAGGTGGAAGCTGCTATGTTGATTTCATTTCTAGATAATCGAGATAACAGAGACAAGTCAACTTCGAGTTTCTAAAATTCGTCCAAGCATAACACCAGAGTAGCTCTTAGTAAATTTCTGCCCCAACATACGGCCTTGCCCGTACTATTGGGTTCAAATGAAATGCTAACACTGGGGCGTGGCCGTCAACACATGCTACGCCTCCTGGAGGCCTCTGGAAACTGATAAAACTGTGGGGTGGAGAGTAGGGCGCTGCGAGGGTGCGTCCTACTCTGATGTGTTTAAATCTCGGTCAGCACAACTCAAGCTTCAACGCTGTGCCGGTAATGCGCTGGAAGTTCCGTCACCGTTTGCATTTTACTCGAACCAGATAGTACATTGGAGCAGGCCAGCCAAGATTATGGTGGCATCTGGTCCCTGAACTGCCCACCCCTGGACAAGCCTGTCTGTTGTGTGAAGAGAATCTGGCATTTATGAACTTCAAAAAACAATCAAGGTGTGTTTTAGCTTGCAATGTCATGATCAAGTGCACCTGTTAGAAAGGCTGTGATATTTTAATCTCCTTGAAGGTTGACGACTTAAAAGCAGTATACTCTCTATATTGGTGTGCAGAGTATGACAGACACTGTTAGCACGAAGAAGTGCTCGATGGTTTTTGCTGCATTGATTCACAATCATCAAAACTACCTATTATGGTGAAGAATGTGTTTTTGGGACACCAAACTGAGCGGTAAACGTTAGCGCTCATCAATACCTCGAATTAGTTGAATCTGGAAAAGTGCCGATGTCATGTTTGCACTAACAGTGTCATGCAAGTAGTGTATCTTAAAAAAATATATATATATAGTGGCAGTATTTTAGTCATACCTGTCAAAATAGTCACACATAGAACACATATTTTGGGACAGTAAATCTCGGTGCGATCGTTTATGTAGACTATGTGTATATTACATTGGTGTCGAACTACAATACATTCCCTTTCACCTCTTCCTCTACACTTAAAACAACACCCGAAGCAAATCCAATTTGGAACTCCATTCGTTGTTGCTATGGCCGTCAGCCAATGGGAGTGAGGTTCCCGTCACGAGGAAGTCCTATAGCAGCGGCGGTTCTCTTGATTGCAACACTTTTCCGTCAAACATTTTACCAAGTTGTCCTCACCAAAAATGTATTCCATGTTAAAAGTTTTCGACTGTCCGAGGCTGTGCTCAAGCACTTGCTTGTTGCTCATGCTTTGGTCCAATCCAAAATTACTACTATAGAAATAAAAATGTGTAGGCTTATTCTTCGGTCGCAATTGTCGTCAATCCTTTGTAACATAGCCCCTTGTAAGCCGATACAATGACCCATCTTCCTATTGTTAAAAACATCTTTGAAACTCTGGTTTCAAAGGTGTTTTTGTTTTGATGCAACTTGTCATCCCCTGATCCACTTTTCCTTTGGGGTTATGAAATTTGAGAACTGATTTTACTGACGCTGAAGGTGTAGTAATTTGTTTCGTAAAATAGAAATGGGGGGGGGGGGGGGGGGGGGGGACTTCCTGTACTCTACAACTTTCTGTGGCATTTCTGAAGTGAAGAGTGCACATACACAGCTTTGATTTGGTGTTCAAGGTGTGCAAGAGCCTGTGTCCATAGCCACAGAAAGTTGTCAGAGTATAGAAGCCGAGACTCAAACTTCTACCTGGTAGTGACGAAAAAGCAATTTACTCAAACTTTTGGTATGGTCCAATGTCAGTAGGCAATTATCCATTTTGTGATCTTTGTTCATTGGCTTCTCTCAACAGATCCCAAACAACCTTCTCAGCAGGCCCAAAGGACAAAACGATTGATGAGAAAGAATGCAAAACCAACAGAATGCTCCAATTCGGGCTTTCTCTTGACCTTTTTAAGGAAAAAAGCATACCTGCCTACCTGCTAGTAGACACTAGCACATCATGATTAACGCCACAGCAGAGCTGCATCTGCCAGCACCCACCCTGTTATATGAGCACGCATAGGCTCTGCAACCCTGGCAGGGACTGCACCGCCTAGGCTGTGCAGTTCCTGCCAGTGCGTGGCTGTCCCGAGCACACCAGACGCTTGTCTCGACCAACTCGTCCCGTTTAATGACAGCGCCAGGTTCCGCGGAAGGGCCTAGCTCCTCTTTTCGCGCTCCTTCTCCTTCTTGGAGGCCTCGAGCTTGGCCTCTTCCTGCTCGTGCTTCTTGATGAGCTTCTCGACCTGGGCCAGGCTCAGGATGGCCACGGTGGTCTTGTTGCGCACCGTGTCGCGCGTCAGCGTGGCCATCTCCAGTTTGTCGGCCGTCAGCTTGGTCATGTCCAGCGTCTTGCTGAGTACCTTGATGGCCAGGGCGAGGGCGTCCTTGAGCGTCGTCTCGTTCTCCTTGTACTCTTGCTTGAGGATGGAGACTGCGGCCGCGCTGTTGTTCCCGATGCACGTCGCCTTCCAGCCGCCGTAGTTGCCGCTCGGGTCCGACTGGTACAGCTGGTAGCCGTAGTGCTTGTCCCATCCCATGTACAGGATGGAGACGCCGAAAGGCCTTTTCCCGCCGTACTGAGTGTACGCCTGCTTGAGGTCGCACAGCCAGCTTACCAGGCGCTCGCAGGGGATCGACTCGCCGTACTGCAGCAGGTACCGCTGGGCGATCTGACGCAGCTCGTTGGTCAGCACGTTGGCGTCCGAGGTGATGCCAGCCACGCTGCACGCCATGTCGTCGTGCAGCTTGTAGATCTTCTCGGCAGTGAACACTTCGTCGAGAAGCTTGTTGGTGTTTCTTCGCTCCGCAGCGAGAACAATCCCGTCCGATGCCAGGATGCCGAGGCAGGTGCCGGCGTGCCCGATCGCTTCCATGGCGTACTCGACTTGATACAGTCTACCTTCGGGGCTGAATATAGTGGTCCGGGAGTCGTAGCGACGAGCCATGGCGATACTGGGCTACTATCTCTCTCTGACACAGTGACGAGCAGGATAAAGACACCGCAAGCTAGTGACTTGCAAGATCTTTGAAACAAACCTCCGCAACCGGCACCACTGGCGCCACTAGGCGTGCTGAACATACAAAGGCGTAGTGTCGTACATAAGTTTATAATATCTTCATTTGCTTTTTAAAACGCTGAGATTAAAGATACCCAACATTTAATAACAAAACAATAATTTAAAAATTTTATAGAATAATTTCGAATGTATACCTGTTCTATCCTGTGTTGTTGTCTCTGAGTTTGCGTCGGCGGCGTCGGAAGCGTCGCGTTGTCGGTGGTGTCGGTCGCATGTCGGTAGTTGTAGCAGGTTCCAGTAGTAAACGCAGTGGTTTAAACCTCTTTAGCAGTTTCAGAGCAGCGTGATTCAGCATGACCGGTGAACTTGTGGAGGCAGTTCATGATGCTTCCGCTGAAAGTACCAGCCAGTATTCCAGCAGTGCGTCTCTCGCGACTTTCGAGTACTTACAAAAAGTCATAAAAATATCTGCGAGCATGTCTACAGGCATGTCCAGGTGGCTCATGTAAGTTGCGGCCTTCCGACTATCTGAAGGGTGCACGTGCTCTTATACTGACCTTATAATTATATACGTATTTAACTCGTCACTATTGAGGGACGACTGGTGAAGCTCTTGCCTCTTGTTTTCTGCAGGCACCGTTCGCTGGAGCTGTTCGGATCTCCCGGCAAGTGTCAAGTTATGACTTAACGCTTCAGCGATTTCAACCATTTTTAGGCACTCGAAAAAAATTATCTGGAGAGGGGAAACACGGAAGAACAACACACGAGACTTTTCTCCGCAAATTTGTGTTTATTTAAACTTGAGGAAGAAAACGAGAAAGGACGGACAAAGGACGGAAGTTTGTGTTTGTCCGTCCTTTCTCGTTTTATTCCTCAAGTTTAACTATCCATACCAACCCGCTCGTTCTGTCCCTACTTGTGTTTATTATCATCCTTTGTTGGCGTGCTTGCGTTTGGGAGGGGAGCCTTGAATTCGTGAGTTGAAAACCGTTCTCCCACGTTCAAGAACCGTAGATTTAGAGAAAATTTAATCACTCTTTCCGGACCTAGTAGTTGCAGTTGTGTATAAATTTGCGCCTGACTAGCGTTCTTTAAACCTTGCATCTGTTGTGCAGGTGATTCCCTGAGGAACTCCATACAATCATGCCAGCGTTGTGGCGTGCATTGGCAGCCATCGGAAATTAAGTTTAGAACGAAACCACGTCCAGTCGTGCGAGGAAGCATGAAGAAATTATTACGCAGAGAAGAACACAAGCCATGGACATTAGATTCGGCTAAGAGGAAGCGACTACGGCGCTTCAAACAACTCACAACGATGCTGGTAAGATTGCACATTTTGAGATACTAGCAGAGTATCCCTGGACCTCTATCATGCAATCAACCGTGTTCTCGTTTTGAAGTGACACCTGTTGCACATACTAATCTGGAATACCACACATGCTTGGGCTGGGGGAACAAGTACTAAATATTTAATTTCTGTTTTCTATCACCTCAGCCACTTCCGAGAATACAGCGACACCTTCTAGGTTTGGACAGTAGAAGTACATACCACGAGTGTCTGAATTGGAGAGGTTTCTTCACCCTGCTCGTAAACGCCTCATAATTTTCACTTTGTCACACACGAGGCGTAAGATGTTTGATGGCATGAGCAGCCCATATCACGATTTTGTAAACTGTCCCAGTACTGTTGGCATTTTCCAGGTCTACACGTGCCAGGTTTGTGGACACAGCAGAAAGTATCCTTGTCCGAAACCTAAGACTGCCAAAGCATCGGATGCAGATGGCACCACAGGGTCTTTCAATTCAAAAACGACACCAGCAAAACAGCCTGGGGCTGGAGCAACACATTGTGAGCCCAAAAGGTGCGACTGGTTACTTGCACGTTGTTGTGCTCATGTGTGGCTTACATGCATGGTGGTGATGATAGAGGATTCAACGGTGCAACAGCAATGATGGCCATGCTATTACACACACTGTGTATAATAGCATGTAATTTAGGGTGACCACCTTCCTGCTAGTAAATTATTGCGGAACACGCGGACCAGGGTACTGGGGGCGGTAGAGGGTGGTGGAGGTGGAGGGTGGAGGAGCGTGGAGGGTGGACAACTGCAACTGGAACAGAAAAATAAAAACCATAGAGGAAATTCATTAACATGGATGCCATGAACTGTGGCTCTGCTCACATTAATTATATTGTGCTGCATGAAAGCATATTATGCACCTGCAAATTGTATTCCAGAAATTAAGCTCAAATAATTTTAACTCTCAGTGATACATATATACAGGGTGTTTATGAGAACGCAGGCCAAATCGCTCCTGCGAAAACTACTCATCGCAATGAAAAAAGGCTTGTGGCGTTTTGGTCCTGGGCCAGGGGCCCATTTAGGAAAATTATTAAAGTCCGGGATAATTAAGTTGTTAATTTTGCGTAATTAACTTTTTTGATATTCTGTTTAAGGGCATGGTTTAAATTAGAAAATTGCTCAGCATCATCGAAAAACACTAAATCAACAAATTGCAGAACGATAGAAGGCACGCGAAGCATTTTACGGCTTTCTGAAAAACCGCACAAAATCGACGGGTTTTTAAGTTTCGGTTTGCTATCGAAGTGCATCTCAGCCCCGGCGGCACCGCGCCCCGTGGAGAGATAGTGCAACGAACCTCTTCTGCACTGTCATCGTGCGACGCAGCAGAGGCTGGTTGCACTATCTCTCCACGGGGCGCAGTGCCAACGTGGCTGAGTTGCGCTTCGATAGCAAACCGAAAGTTAAAAAACCCGTTGATCTTGTGCGGTTTTTCAGAAAGCCGTAAAATGCTTCGCGTGCCTTCTATCGTTCTGCAATTTGTTGATTTAGTGTTTTTCGATGATGCTGTGCAATTTTCTAATTTAAACCATGCCCTTAAACACGATATTAAAAAAGTTAATTACGCAAAAATTATTAACAACATTGTTATCCCGGACTTTATTCATTTTCCTAAATGGGCCCTGGCCCAGGACCAAAACGCCACAAGCCTTTTTTCGTTGCAATGAGTAGTTTTCGCAGGAGCGATTCGGCCTGCGTTCTTTGAAACACCCTGTATATACATATCTTTATTTTTTTATACCAAATATGCTAATTAAATTTGTCTAACTTAAAAACATAAAAATCGACTGCACCAAAACTCAATGCATCAAACGGAAATAAGAAGCAGTAAATCTTTTTCGGGTTATTGTTTCCTGTCGATTCTTACTTTTTCCAACATGCTCCTACATGAATTTCGGAGCTTATGTTCTTTTTCGACCATTGTGAGTTGCAAGCTTTTTGCCTTCTGTGGCTGTCTTCACTAAAAAAAGCTTTCCACAGTAACCCTTTCACATTCCCGGAGCATGATTTGAGAATAATTACAATAATTTGTATTTACTTTTGGCTAGCAATTTTTTCGCACAATATTTTGCCACCAAGGGGAGAGTCACAACGGCGCATGCGCATCGGTTCTCCTGTAAGAACGACGGTCACTTCCCGCAATGCTTGTATAAAAAATGGTGTACCATTGCAATTCACATGATTACCAGCGACCTCTGCACTTCCCCGTGCCCCGTTTTTCAGCTGTGCCATAGTTGCAGAGTGAATTTTACGACTGTGTGAAGTGCGGAACATTTTCAAGATTTTGGAATTTCTTGCGGGACACAAGACCTCAATGCGGGACAGTCTCGCGAGTCGCAGGACGGATGGTCACTCTAAAACTATTATAGAGCCTATTGCACACATTCATACTTGTTACCTTTTATTTTCGGTCTTCTAAGCTGGTGCGTAACGAGACTTCTAATACTACTAGACTTTTAGAGGCATACACAATGAGCTTTAAACTTTTTGTTACAAGCCCTTTTTACTCGTGACTAAATTTCTGCAGCAGAGCAGTTGTTTGGGAAACATTTAAGAATGGATTAAGTGTCATGCACTATGTAAGACAGACAAAATCTTGCTTATAGCCATGTTTTCACATTGATTGCAGAAAAAGTGTGGTGTCAACTGCAGCGCACATAAGCTTAGGAAACAAGGAACGCAAGAGGAGCAGTACAGCAGGAACACCTCTCAAGGAACCTGCCTCAGTGAAGCGTGCGCGAAACCTGCTTAAACAAGTGCTTACCGAACAGGATGATGCAAAGAGGAGAAGCAGTGGAGGCTTGCACATGTTTCTGTCATCATTGGGGTAGTGGATGTGAAACATTAGAAGAAATTAAATTTGGACTTGCATGAGTACCTCATTGATCTTCGCAGGACTAAGTTGGATGTTTTACCGAGCGGATCTGGTGAAGTGGGCACGTTGGTTGATAAAGCTACAACGTGCATTGTGCGATGGTGATTACACAAATGGTCGCTGGTACCACCCCAGTCCACATTGTAACTGGCAGGAAAGGAATTTGCGCTTTCAACATCAAAATCCTCAATGCAAGTTTTCTTTTTTTTTTTTTTTTTTTTTTTTTTTTAAATTGACATTTGTAAAAATAGATTGTTGAAAATAAGTTATGAGCATATTCTGATGAATAAAAGAAAACTTTTATTTGTTACTGCTTCCTAGAAATCATGATGGCTGATAGTGCATGAGCGCAGCAACCTTTTGTTGCGTTTCAGAAGTTGAGTGCTCGTGCACAGCTTCCATCGATCCTCTGCGGAGAACAGGTAGGTCGCTGCAGCTGTGGTCACTGCTACCTGCAAATTGCCTCCCATCGGAACATCGTATCGTTGGCTAGGTCACGCTAGCCTGTGCTAGCCGTAGGCGCGGAGAGAAAATGAACACTCTAAAATGCGATGTCCCACAGGTCCCACATAACCTGGTAAAGATAAAAATTAAGGCTGGGCAATTGATTGATTAACGTACCGATTAATGCTTTAATTGCGGTTAAATTTTTTTAACCCCGGTTAAATTTTGACTGACCAAGAGAAACTAAAAATAAACGGTTTCTCCACGCAGGCCCGGACGAGTTCACCAGTATCAAGGGCAAACTTTAGGTAAAGTAAACTGGTAGGGCGAGATCTGTAACTCCAAGCAGGGGATGGGAAGGGGGGGGGGGGGGGGGTGCAGAAGGTTGTACGTGTCTGTGGTACGTGTCTCTGCTGTCTCTGCTACTTTAGCGTCGTGGGCGTGTCCGTTTAGCGCAGCAGGGACTATTGTGAACCTCCAAAGGAGCTCGCTCTTGCCCGACGATATCAAAGAACCTCTTTATATTTGCAGGTAGTTCTGAGTCTAATACGCCTCGCAAGTGGGTTCATTTTCGTCTTCTGCGCATGAGAAAGGAAGTAGCGGTGACGTCAGAACGCCGAGCCCTGATTGGCTGATCGCAACCCCCTATCTCAGCGTCGTCTGCTCCTTTGCAACGTCGTCTGCGTCTATCTTACCCTTCCTGCGACTTTCGGAAGTGCAGTCTTTACCAGCGAGCTCGACTTCGCCTTTCAGAGGGTGCAGACGAAATAACTCTAGCGGTACGTTGTTTTTGTCTAACAACTAGCAGACGCGCATCAAGGAGGGAAGTCAAACGACTCACTGGCGAGCTCTCCCGAGGCGCTGAGGTTTGTTTGCTAAGAACCAAGAGTAAGCGTGTTTGTGCCCCGCAAGTTCCCTCCCAAATACTTTTTCCCTCCTTTCGTGTGCGGCGAGACCCCTCATTCTTTAACGGCGTCGGCGGGTTGGCGCAGTTAACATCGTCTGCTTTACGTCTGCTAGTTAAAGTGATGGCTGCTTTACCTTTCCTGCGTCTGTCGGAGATTCACCGGCGAGAGTCACCGTTGCCTCGGGAAACAAGGAGATAACAAAAGGAAGAAAATGACCTCTTAATCTAAAATTGTGGTCAGCGATCAAAGTATAATACGGGAAGGGTTCACAAAGGTCGCGCGGGCATATTCCATTCAGCACGCCAGCCGGTTGTGGGCAGACGGTTGCCGAGTCGCGGAGTGCCTGCTAGGCCTAACTGCCGTACTCGCTTGGTCGTGTTCGGTGTAATCGTGGCCGTTGGAGCTTTTCCCGGGTGTTTGTGGATCCTGCGTTCTTGTTCGTCGTAATCTGTTTCAAGTGCTTTTTACTTTTTTCTTGCTGCTTGAAGTCTGGACGCGTGAGAAGCGTGCGTAGAAATATAAACGTTCGTGGATCGTCGCGACCTCGACGCTGTCGGCCATGCTGATTTGATCGTTAGAAGTGCGTAAGACAGCTTCGGAGCTGTCGTAGGATTTCGTCGTAACCTGCACAATACTTACGAAAATTTCGTTTCGTGAATACGAATTTGTTCTTAAGTTTTGTCTTACGCACATTTTTGGCGTAAGATTGTTTCGTAAATCTGGCCTTTGCTTTTCCGAAAGTCGCAGAAAAGGTAAGACAGACGCAGACGACGTTGCGAGCAGACGACGATGCAAAGGAGCAGATGGCGCTCAGATAGGGGGGTCGCGATCAGCCAATCAGGGCTCGGCGTTCTGACGTCACCGCTACCCCCTGCTCAAGAAGCAGACGAACTTGCCCTCCGCATTGTATCTTGACTTCTGAAATACTTGTAGAAATTGATTCGTAGTCGAAATTGCATAATGCGCCGTTTAATCGATTAATTAATCGATTAATCGGGTTTAAATTGTTAATCGACGCCCAGCCCTCATAAAAATTAATATTATTATTATTAGAAATTGCTTTGTACAGAAAACCGCAGAAATAAACATTTAATTAATGCAGCTGCGGCCTTTTTGCGAATTAAACGAAGCGAGCAACTCGCGATGGTGATGATGGTGATAACTATGCTTGCTAATGGCGTCGTTTGTCGTGCTTGAAACTTTACCCGCGGAACTCGGGCGACAAAATAGTCAAGACCTTGTTAACGTCGGTTAGTTTAGTCCCTCCAGGTATTCCCGGAAATTTAGAGGGGTATTTTAGGCGTGATATTTTATGTGCTAAGGGCTATCAGTGGGGCATTTTGCTGTTTCACCTGTTTCGCGCGTAGCTCAAAAATACTCTTCGCGTGGCAGTGAAACGTGGTACTGTCCATGCTGCTCATCTGTAGATCGCCTGAAATTCTGCAGGTCGTGCTAAGTTCGTGCACATTAACTTGACTTGTCCCATAACATGGCTCATAGCACTCTCGTAGGTGCAGTGGCCAAGTTGGTTGCAAGCACGGGAGGGTTGGTGAATATCCTCAATGAGGTGTGTGGAGGTCTATGGAAAGAATTCTGGAAGAACGAATAATTTCAATTTTCGTTTTCTACTTTCAGTTAGATAAGCCGATAGAACCTGACTGTGCCAACGGCGTTACCGCATCCAGCGAAGGTATATTGCCATGCTCTTTGCTCTCTTTAGATCTAGCTGGTCAATTAGCTCCTACTTGTGGAGGCTTCACTGAGTTCTTTTTGCGTTTGTACGCGCGTAAGAAAGAACGCAGTGTCTACCGTTACGTCGGACAGAACCCGAAATCAAAATTAAAGTTACGTCCTCCGACGTAACTGTACCCCAAGGTTTCGAGTTACGTCCAATATGAACATTAAAGTTACGTCCGACATAACCTAATAAAAGTTAGTTACGTCCTGTGTAACTTTCGCGTATGTTTCGCTTTACGGCCTGTACATGACGGAAATAAAAAAAAAAAAAACCGTGAATTATTACTGCGCTACGTCCGATGCAGCATTCGTGAATCAGTTAAAATCTCGACACTCTCCGTACCTTCAGCTTTGTTGGGAGGGCTGAAGTATGTTCCTCGCACATCGAGACTGCTGAAGCTGGGTGGGTTCGATGCCTGTCACCTACATTTTGTTTTTCTTTCTTTTCTCTCTTTCCCTTCCTTTAAGACAATTTGTTGCATTTTTGTTTTCGATATGAATTATTGCGGAAAAAGCGCCGTGGTAACCGAGCTTTCGGTTGCACGTCAAAAGATCTCCAGGTGGTCCAAATTAATCCTCAGTCCTCCGCTGGGGCGTGCCAGATGCCCGTCGTAGGTCTGGCATGTAAAACCCCCAAATTTGACTTTTTTTTGTTTTCGATATGAAAACACTTCTTGCTATCCTTGCCGCATTTGCTACACCTGCTTGCAGCCCTTACTGGCTCGGGCTGAGAGCAAAGTTGATTTGGCTGAAGGCCGAGGGTCTATTGTCATTTTCACACCGTACGGCCCCCTCGAAACAGCCCTTCATTTAAGACACTGAAAGAAAACGCTGCCAAAGCTAGTGCGCGTGGTGACTTGAGTGGTACGTGAAGATTGTGCCAGTTTTCAACAAGCCTGCCGGAAACCCTGCTGCTGCAAACAGCATGTTTGTATCGCATTACCATTCTATCTCTCTTAATAATTGCTTCGAACGTTCGCGATTCTTAGATAGTGTCGCGAGAAATCATAATTGTCTTAAAGAAAGGGAAAATACGAGAAAGAAAAAAAAAAAATAATGTGACAGGCATCTGTACCTGGAGGTCCAGATGGAGTCGTGATTCTAACCAATTAACAAATGCTGCATCGGATGTAACATAGTAATAATTCACGATATATTTGTGTTTATGCCATGTATTGGCCGTGAAGCGTAACATTCAATAAGGTTGCGTAGGTTACACAGGACGTAACTTTAACTCTTATTTCCGTTGAACGTAACTTTAATTTTCACATTGGGTTACGTCGGACGTAACTCGAAACCTTGGGGTAAAGTTACGTCTGACGTAACCTAATTTTTATTCTGGGTTCCGTCAGACGTAACGCTAGACACTGCAAAGAAAGATTTGTGTCACCGAGTCTTTGTCCTTATTGTTCACTTCACCTACAAGTTAGCTTTTGGGTATTGCAGAAGCCGAATATAATTTGTGCTGATAATAGGCACATTTGATTTATTTTACAGCTTCAGCAGACGACTGTTTTGTGGTTGAAGCTGCCCTGCACTCTTGCTCTGACAAGGGGCTCGGTTTCCTGTCAAGCACGGATGGTTTTTCTGATGTCGCTTATGCTCAAATTTTGGTCCACTGCACGCAAGCCTCTGATAGCCCTTCAGATCAGCACTGTTTGCTGAGCGACCAAGCTAGGGCAAGTGCTTTCTGATGATATGTTATGAATCGTGTTCCGTGTTTTCGGATAAAGCCGAAAAACACCTGCCGGTAAAATTTCGGTCAATTCGGATTTATCCGATAAACTCCAAATTTGAATGTGCCAAAGCCCCACCCCGCAAAAAAAAAGAAAAAGTAAAACACTTTTTTTTAACATTTTGATTAGTGCAGGGTCAATAGTCCTGGGAAAATGCCACCATAATTATCTTTCAAATCTCGGACCGTTCTCAAAAGGGGTCTTATCGCTTGTCTCATCAAGGTTGATTCAGGGCAATATTGTACATTTGGGTCACCACAAAAGCCACTTTTTTGGTTTCCCCATACGATTTGTGATTTAGAGAAAGGAGAGGGTATGAATTTGTAGCAGTGAAAGCTATGGACCATAGAGATTATATAAAATAAAGAAAAGGGGCAATTGGAACTTCTCTATTTTAACCACTCCACCTCGCGTGGCCGCGGGCTAGGTTGATGGAATAGGATGGGATGACTACGAGCTTCCTAACGACTACTTCAGGGAGTCTATTGATTTTAAGGTGTCGACGTTTATCAAAGCAACACTTCTGTGTGACTTTTGTCGTGGGACAAATAAGTATTGCAAATGGCAATAGCACCAATGCCAAATTCAACTGAAGAAATTTTAATTGACAAGCGCGTTTTATTTTTATCTGGCATACATTTGCATCCGATCATTATTTATTTATTTATTTATTTTTAATAGGAAACACTGCAAAATTAAACTCAGAATTTCTGAGAATCGGGAATCAAACAAATATAAACTCCAAATCTTCGGCAAAAAATAAACTCGGAAAAACCCCCTCAGAATTTCACGAAAAATAAACTCCGAAAACACGGAACCCTAGTTATGAAGTCTCTGCTGGTGCGTCCTTTGAGATGCCAAAGTAGCCTGCCCCTGCTTTAGGCACACAATCTTCAAGTGTCAATAATGTTTTTTTTTTTTCCCTCTCATATTGACAGAACACTGTGCTAAAGCTAATTGAGCTTGGCAATCCTGCAAGTGCATCTCGGAGAAGTGCAATAAACTTTGCAAAAGTTCTCAACGGCTGTGTAAGTACATAATCCTTTATTTTTACATGTCTTGGTGTTAAAAATTACAATATTGTATAATGATGTATCACGTTTGTTGGCTGTTTGGCCCCATAGCTCATTTCTATATGTATTTGCATGTCAAATAAAATATGATCTTTATTATTATTTGTAAATTGATGACAAGAATACTACTTACCTATTGGACACATACAGGGGAGCAGTTTGTGATAGCTTCTGCTTTTCTTTTTTTTTTTAGTCTCACTGTCCATTGGAATTACTTAGTCGACTACATGCTGCTGGACTTCTGCAGGTTGAAGACTACATTGCACTGTGAGTTGAGGCTCTGAATTTACAGTTTGAGAATACTTTTGAAGCTCATTCATGGGCCTTGCCAATGTTTGATTATTTCTGAAAATTTCAGGAATGTTCAGAATCCCCAGGCCATTGCTCATCTCAGCCGTAGTCTGTTTGCGGCTTGTCAGCTTCGTGAGAGAAGTCAGCATGCCGAGTTCACATTCTCAGGTATTGTGCCGCAACACTTTGTTGATGTGTAAATACCGGTTCAGACACCTCTGTAACACTGACACCCCTCGAAGGAGGAGAGTGTTACTAAAAACCAACATAGTGCATACCGTGACAAACACCTCTAATTTGAACACCTAAGTCAAACAGCCCATGGCACTGTGTGTTTGAGTTGGAGGCTTCTCTGCTACCAGGTTGGAAAACAATGGAAGTCTGATGTTTTGCTTAGCCTTCGCTTGCCTCCCAGCATGGGTGTCCAGAGTTGCAGTTGAACCCCCCCTCAGGAATCTGAAGGTATAATATAGTGACTGGAATGACGTTATTCGTTGCCACAATACCAGGGCAGTATATGGCACTAATCACACCAGTCCTAGGCACAATCTTGGCACCGTTGTATAGGTAGGGCCCAGCCTTAGGCCCCACAATATCAGGGTTGCACCCCTCTTGAAGAAAGTTCTGTGGGCACCTATGCCTACTGGTACTTTTTGGTGCTGTCATACCAGAAATCCAGGCCCCTTTTCAAAAGTTCAATTGGCAGTTTTGATCACCGCTGGAAACAGCTCACAGTTACTACCAAAAACTTACATGTCACTTGAATATTGTTTAGAAGTGGTCTCATCATTCTGGCTAACTTTGAATAGTTGTTTAGCAAATTGGGTCAATGCAGCAAATGTCTAGGTTTTTATTAGTGCTTAGCGCAATAAACATAAACATAGTGTGAGCACCCTTGAAGAAAGGAAATCTCTTCCTGAAACGTTTGTCCAATAAAGCCTTTGCTGTTGTCTTAACTTTAGCCCAAAATACATGTGAGCTAAGCACCAACAAAGGAGTAAATAACTCAATAAAAGGCTACAATATGTGGAACTCGAGCCATTGTGCCTATGTAGAGGGTCGAGGGCCTTGTCAAGCTGTATTTCACAGCTTGTTTCCTTGAGCTCCACCATCAATGTAGATGGAAATACACAAATTATTAATTACTTCGTTTATAAAGGAGCTTGATTTGTTATTTTTTTCAAATTCTGGTCTGCCTATTTGTGTTGCAAGAACCTCTGGCCTGCCAAATCAAAAGCAGCATTGGTTTGCTCCTGCTAAAAGTAAGAGGGTGATTTCAGATAAGATCGACCAAAGGATGGCTAGTCGACATTTTTAAATCAACTGATGTTTTTATATGTTATTGTCTAGTGTCTGGTATGAACGAATCCAAACTTAGTTTTGACTAGAAAAAATACTTGGGGACAGGAAAAATCGTAAGGCATGAGGTGGTGGACAGTTGCATTAACGCGCACTGATGGAGGGGGCCCGTTTGAGAGTGAATAACTAAAGCGATAACATTAGGAGAACTCTAATACGTTTTAGGCGCAAACTATGGGTATAGCTTGCTTGTAATATAAAGTAATCATATTTATTTAAAATTTATTTATTTTTCTAAAAATTGACAAACATGCCTGCTCGAACGACAAATGGCAAACTTTGGAGGTCTGTATCTCATGAAATAATTTAATCATTATGATATAATTTGCAGATATTATTCTACTAATATATAGCTAATATTTAAAAAATAACTAAGGTATCTGTGTGATACAATAGTTAGGATATATTTAGTCAAACATGGAAAAAAAATCAAACAAAGAAAAATTCCGATGCGAATAAAAAAAAAAACACCACCCTCGATTTTTTTAAAATTTAGGTAACCTGTTATACTCTATTTCGGCATTCATTTCCATTAAAAACATGTTGCATCATTTTATTGAGAAAGAAGATACAACTCCCCAAAGTAGGGTCCTTTTTCAAAGCCTACACTTAGCAGTGTTTTATACAAGAACTGACTCTGAGTTCCAGTTTCATGAAACCAACACACATCTTTTATATATTTTTATTCAGATGAGGCCAATGATAACTAAAGAAATCGTTCACACACTTAAATTAAGGAGAAACTACTGTGTACAAAGAGGTATCATATTACGGACTAGTGATCCGAGAAAAGATCATGCAGCCATCGGCCACTAGGAACTTTGTTTACTTTATTCTCCTGCGACACTATATGCTATTCCCTCTTCCGCTCTACCTTCATCTCTCTCTCTCTCTCTCTCTCATATATATCCCTGATATATATCCAGAACAAAAACATGTTCAAGCATTCCCTTTCTGCGTGGTAGTGTTCTGTGGCTAGCAAAAATCATTTCCTCGCTAAGCTCACGATTATGGCAAAATAGTTGCCGGAAACCGCAGACGACACTCGTCGCTAGTTCTGGCAAAACGGCCGATACAATCTTTTTTTCGCATTTCCCCGCCCGCTGTCAAGGACAAGGGGGTTCGCTTCAACCAGCAAAACATGGCCGCCGACGCCTGTTTACTGAGCAGTCATGCCTGTCGCCATCTCACTCGCTGGCGTCACGGGCGATAATATCAGGCACAAAGCGGCACACCAACCGGCAGCATTATCCCCAAATACTCGAGCCTCGCGTAAATACATAGAGTGTAAACGCTGTCGCCATGTTATCGTAGTAAGACCGCCCCCCCCCCTCCCCCAATGGGGGACTGCAGTACGCGACGGCGTACTAACACAACGGCGACGATATCGACATCGCGGGCTCAAAATTTTCCCATAGTTCTACTCCACGGGCATTTCTCGAAACGCTTGATATTGTGTACGCCCGCCTGGAAGGATTTCAGGCGCGTAGTTAAGATAAGGCGGTTCTCCGCGGCAAAAGAAAGCAATTTCACAAAAGCTTAAAAGCGGCGGCGACGCGTGTGCGGTGAACGCTTGTAGTTTTGGTGTAGACAGGGTGTGTGTGTTCTCGTTGTTGACACCAGCCGGCGATAAGGCACTGCAGGCGGTAGCTCAGTACAGCAAGGGCTAATCCGAGTGACCATCAACGTAACCCCACCGCCAACCCCTCGCGAACCGGTCGCCGACATGGCTCAGGCTGTGTCATGAACCACGTGGTAGAAGCTCGGGTGCTTTCATATCAGCGCGTGGAGGGACGACAGTGCGATTCCGGAAAGTCTTTTTCGAAGGCCGCTGACCACAATTTTTTGTCTGGAGACTTTCCCTCTTTCTTCCTTTGACGTGGATCAAGCTTTGCCGACAGCCTCAGTTGTGACCTCTCTTTTCAAATGTATGTTTGCAGTGAGTGAGCTCCTCAGCCTCGGACTTGTCACTTGTGCACCCAGTAGTTCTTTCACTTGGCAATTATATGCCATCAGTTGGGGTTTAATTTCTATTATTTATGTATACATTATGAAGACGTCCTGGAGCTCCGAACGAGTGTTTTGTGCAGATTACTTTTGCAAACACAAAAAGACTATACCAAAGCAGCGGAATTTTCGAAGTGTTGGCGAGTTGGACCTAAACTCGTTGAAGCAAATTCTTCCGCCTGACTGTTCCACCAAAGTGAGTGCGACGGACTACCTGTGCTACCATTGCTTCATGCACATCACTAAGGAGATCTCGATGCGGAGCTCAGAGCAGTGCCCTGACATATTTGTGCCAGCTGAAGAAGCAATTGAAGATCTAAATCGCAGCATACTACCTACAGATGTGTCGCCGCTGAGACAACCAAGCGTCGTAAGAAGTCGGGACAGGCCTGCCTATGTCAAGAGAAAGCAGACAGAACTGGAGCAGGTTGCTGTCAAGAATATACGCTCAAGGCTACGTATTGCGTACGACAGGGACGCACCATCGGGGTCGTCCGAACCAACATGCTCCACATGCACTGAGTGGGTGGACAACTTTCGGCAGGCCTTTGAAACCGCCACCTCTCTCCGGGAACGTTGTCAACTGCTTACACTCCTGCCGTCAACACTGACGAAGAATGAGGTTCAAAAGATGATTCCACAGGCCTCAATGTACCTCATCAGTAAATCCCGAAAACTCAAGGAAAAGCATGGCGTGTGGTATGAGCCGGATCCTTACACGAGGTGCAAGGTGAGCCCTGAGAACCTGTCTGCTGCCCTAGAGTACTTCACGAAAGACGAGCTACAATGTTCGCGCCAAAGTCCCAACCAGAAGGACGTCATCTCTGTCATGCTCAACGGAGAGAAAACGTTCGTGCCAAAGCGCTTCATGACACGCTCAATACGAGAGGCCTTCCGTATATACAAAGACAAGCGTCCCGATTCCGGCGTTGGGCTAACGAACTTTTATTCGTTGGGCCCTAGATGGGTCCAATGTATTCCACACCAGGAAGTGTGCGTTTGTGTGCGCTGCGCCAATTATTATCTTTGTATTGCCGCTCTAGAGAACGTTACAGGCTCAACATTCAACACTGGTGAAATGAACTCGGCATTTCTGTGCGACCCAGCAACAGAACTGTGCCTTCAAGGAGACTGTGATCACTGCCCAAAAGGCCAGTTTCTTACACTCCAGGAACTTGATATCCCGGAGGATGAAGAGATTGTGCTTGCAACATGGGAGTCCGGCGACCTTGTGAAAACTTTGGAACCTGAGACCTTCCTAAAAGTCATCCAAGTGACGGTTGGAAGTTGGGTACTTCACAACCATATCCGGCAAACGCAAGGTAAAGCGATCTACGATGAAAAACAGTGCATGCAACGCGGGAGCATTGTCTTTCATTTTGACTTTGCTGAAAACTGGACCATCGTGCTTCCTGACGAAGTGCAAGCATATCACTGGAAAAAAAACAAAAACAAGTTTCGATATTTACATGTGTAGTGACGACAAGAAAATCTACAACAGCTTCGCCATCATCAGTGAGGACCTGTGTCACGACGCCGCTCACGCTTGCTTGGCTCTAGACAAAGTGAAGGAGTGGGTTGAAGACAACGTTGCGGTATACTCGTACGTGACGTACGTAAGTGACGGCGCCGCCAGTCATTTCAAGAATCGCTACCAGCTTCACCAATTTGCAAAGGACGATTGCCCACAAGCCCAGTGGTTATTTTCTGCATCTGGACATGGGAAAAATGCATGTGACGGAGTTGGCGGACTCGTGAAGCACCAGGCCACGCTGAACAACCTGAGAGAACGTTCAGTAAGC